AGCATATAAAAACCGTACCTACAGACTGTAGTCGATAGGCTAATATCGTCTATTTCCCGGGCTACAACCCATCTTTCGTGCTCCTCAGACCCCTCTCGAAGTCGGATCACCCAATGCCCCGATACAGCCCAAGCCCGACACTGACACTACCTTTACCATGCTACCGACACAAATCCTCACGTTTTCCAGAATCCAGACTGATGTCATGCCTCATACGGACATTTGCCTCACACACTGTAAAACCGTATCTTTCAGTACAGCTGAAAATGATGCTTTTTGTGGTACTTTCAGACAGCACTGGAATTAGCACTGAAAACAATACTATCAGTTTATCTGACATCTGTACCAAAAGTAGTGGTTTCAGCAGTGGGTTTAGCAACTGCTGAAAATACAGTTTTCAGTATATGTTTGAAGTGATACTAAAAGCACTCCTTTCAGCTCAGTTTATATTTTATCTGAAATTTGTTTTATTGGGAACACTAATTTTCATGCCAAAATGAATGATTTCAGCACCAATTTTAGTTTTAGCTGAAACAAAGGATTTTATAATGCAACTGAAAATTATACCAATAATTCCAATATCAGAATCCTGTGTAGTCTCAATTCCAGACGTTCGTGAACGGCGGGCGAGCAAAGCTTGCCAGAACAGACACTTGACGTTGCCAAGGTAGTTTTTGATGGAAGAGGTGATAGAAAAGGCCGCTCACGAATGTCATATTGTGTGTGCTGATATCAGATGACGTACATTTACTAGTGGCCACCTTGGAATAGCTCAGTGGTGGCCCATAAGCCTCAGAGTGCCAATAATTTATGGTGTATACTCAAGGCAAGGGTCTCTCAAGCAGCCCTGCAAATTTTTAGCAGCCAATTCATATGTCATAAGCCTTACATGGGCCAATGATGTCAAATAACATAGTAGTGAAAAAATCAGTCAAAGATGTTGAAGATACTATTTTTTCTTGGTGGAATAGGTGTAAGTATAGATTGACTAAGTAAATCTGCCCTCAATGGGGTCAGTAAAGCCCCAACAGCAAGAGAACAAGGAATTTTGGTCAGTTTGATAAGCAACTGTTAAGCATGGGCAACCTGGCCGGCTAAATTGCACCAGATCTTTGAGGGCTGATTTCTCTGGCGTGATGGGTAATGGTACATCCCCGCATCACGTCCGGCATGTCCCCACAGCCCTCGAACAATCTGGGACCGAGATTAAATCCTGTGGGGGACTTGATGTTCTAATACATAGACTTTAGTACAACGTTCAGTTGTGAACGTGAGACCTTATTTTCAGCTTGAACTGAAATTTACGCTGAAATCAGTGATTTCAGCAGGAGAATCAGCATTACCAAAAGGACTAATTTCAGAAGACACAAAATTGAGCTGAAAATAGTACATTCAGCATTACTTTTGCTATATAGTGGAAGCTATGTTTTAAGTACCTAGCAAAACTGTTACCAAAATCACTGCTTTCAGTGCAGTTTTTAGACAAACTGATAATATTGTTTTCAGTTCTAATTTCAGGACTATCTGAAAGTATAATAAAAAGCATCATTTTCAGTTACACTGAAAGATACCACTGTACAATGTGTCACTCCTCCACGTCTGGCCCATCTTGCCATCTCCACTGCCATCCTCACAGCTTCGCAAAGATATGATTACTAAGGAAACAATTCCAGACCTTTACATGTACTTATAACAGACCAACACTTTAGACTAGAGTTATTCAACATTAATTTCAGCAGAAGTTAAGCATTCCAGCAGGCTGCTCCCAGTCTGACAAAATCCATCGCAAAATCCGTCTGGAGTGAACTAATGCGAGATCAACGCTCACCAAAAGCGGACGTTGAGAATTACCTGAATCCACATAATTCCAGGTTCCAGAACCACCGGATTGAATTCAGATATATTCTGATCCAAGATTTGGATACGAACTTCGGTGGCGGAGCCAGTGAGATGTTGTAGCTGCTGTCTTGTAGCTGGATGGTGCATTTCTGTTGGAATAAATGATACATCTCTATATAGTGGGTAGACGATCGCACCTGGGAGCTCCTTCAGCTGTTCGTAAAGCTCTGTAAAACGTTCAAGAGCGCATGCACCGAGATCAATGGTTGTAATAGGCATTTTCGCTGCTTGCAGCACACTGTAAACCTCACCCCAGTTGGGGTTCAGGAACACAGATGTTCCCAGAAGCTCACTGAGATGACGTCGCGTAGCCTCTACAAGCCTTGTGTCATACTTCACATTGATAGAGCGCTGCGCAAAGAGGTTGAAAGAATTTCCCAGAAGATTCAGAGGCACTTGTAGGCGGTCGATAATTAACTGTATGCCCTCGACAGTGAAGTGGTCGCGAGGCACACATTGCGCTCTGCCAAACCAGTCTGGGTGGAAGAGGATGGAATAGATGCCATCGTCGACAGATTGGGATACCGGGCTCGCGAATCGACCATGGAGAGGATTGAGCTGCCAAGGTCATTGTCCTCAGCCGATAACGTGAAGTAGGGACTAACCTTGAGACATATTTTTTGTTGCACAACCACACCATTGAAACAGCGCTTTCCAGCCTCCCCGAACCAGCTGACAAATCTCTCTAGCGCTAGCGTGAATCCCTCGAAATATCTGTTACCGTCTTAGCTCACAAAAAGAACAAGAGAGAGAGAGAGAGCCTACTCGAAAACTTCAACGCCTAAGTTCGAGTTTCCGTTTCTGCGAGCGTATGGCCAGGCAGCACATAGTTCCACATCAATTGTATAGGGCTTCTCAAGTAGTCTAGTAATGATGTTTTCGAGTTCTGGTCGGCGATTGTGATATTCAGTCTGTACTGATGGCAATCGTCATGTTGCAGTAGCCGAGTGGAACATAACATACTGTTTGCTTGAACATTTTGAGGCAAATCACTCACGGGAGGGAGAGGGTCAAAGTTCATGAGGGTTTGAGGAGAGCGTAAGGGAAAAGGGGAGAGAAATATAATGTGTCACGTGCAAACCCACATTGTTTTCGCAGACAAACCAAGTGTGTTTTTTTTTCTGTGAGCTAGCAGGGTCTGACACAATCCTACTCAATCTATATAGAGTCTACGAACGGGAGAGATGCCAACAAGGCATAAGCAGAGGATCTACTTACTTCGACGCAACAGAAACGGGGGATTTGGTGCCACAATTTATCTTCAGTAATTTCATTGGCCTGTGTGGACTAACCAGGAGATTGATCCGATGGACCGTGTTCACTTGCACTGGGCGACTAGGAAGCCTCAAGTTGACCGTAGTAGTGACTCGGATGCAGCGAAGAACGATCGGCAAGATTCACCCTTCAAATTCAATGCGCGGAATTTCAGTGGGCACCAAATACTTGCGGTCACCCATGAGAAGTCCGCACGAAGTAGTCTCACTCAGCTTCTTTCCTGTTGGATAAGACAAATCGACGAACTTCATATTACTACTCTCGAGCATTTTATTTACGAGCACTTCGATGCACCGCGTCTCGGTGGCTTCATAGCCTGGCAACGTTAACATGATCCCCAAAATCCTCAAAAAAACATGCACTACGTGGCCTGACTGCTAGAGAATAACCCTCAAAATTGACACTCTGGCTCGACATTTTGACATCCAAGTTTACACTATTCAAGATCAAGTTGGTGGCTATCGAGCATGAAAATTTAGGTGAATGATCATATTTTTCCGTCGCTCTTCCTTAAAGTCGCATAGTCCAGTCCAGCGGATTCATTGGGGCAGATTTCATGGCGCCTGCTAAAGCAGTGTCGTCTTTGTGTCTTGCAATAAATTGATCCGCCCACAAAACGCGTCCTTTGGATTTTAAGCCCTCACCCTCCCACATTCTAATCACCCATATTACTGCACACATGGCGCTAGTCGCTTCACCTTCATCCTCGCCCATAACCCAAAGCTGGCCTTGGGATATCATTGAGCTCGTCATATTAGCGGTGTTGCACACAGCCAATACAGACTCGCGAAGCATATTGCGGCTCATGCTTGTCAACAGCGACTTCCTTCGCGTGTGCGTCTCGCCCAGCTCTCCCTTCCACATCCTGACAGTTTTTATAGGGTGATGCAATGGATCTGTTGTTTTTGCCACTTTTCGGTCGACAGGCACCGACGACTCCCCACCTTCCGCCAGACATGGCTGACGACCCTCGCCACCACTCCGAAGGTCACCACCCCGGTCACAGCGATTCGTCGAGTGATGCTCGGAAGACTACCCCTACAAGAAGGACTTGCGATTCTCGCTCGACTTCAACATGTCCAACACTGGACTATTGAGGATGTGAATATAACGACGAGCGCGCTCTTTCAGACCCTCCGACCTGAAACATTAGACGTGGCGGTCCCTTATCGCGGAATGCATTTTTTGTCCAACTTCAGCACCCTTCGCAGTCTGTTCCTAGATCGAATCATCCACCAGGATGATGTGGATGCATGGGCAGTCCTCGCCCGCCTCGTTCTCCTCGAACAGCTCTGCATTGTGGCGACAATTCCGCCGGCGACGATACTGGCCCAGCAACGGAATCTACAGCTCCTCGTACTGCTATGGGGTTCAGATATTCGCTCACTCAAGCGCATTGACGAATTGCTGGCGTTGCCACTGAAGGAATCTGCTCATGTCGTCATTCTGCGCGACAAAAGGCACCCTGTGACGCGGTTCCACAAAGCCGCATCTGGACTGTCGGTGTGGGACGTCGCTCGGCGAGTTGTTGCACAGCAGCGTTCAATGACCGAAAGTGAACTTGGTATGTGCTCGTAATCTTACTTGTTCAACATCCAACTCATGTCCTTCATTCAGCTGAGAGTCGAAAACAACATCCTCGCCCAATCTGGACGTAGACATCTCATTGTATTTTTTTGTTTCTACCCTCACTTTCTTTTGATAAATGGTGTTTGTTATGTGCAATGGGGGCGGAGAGCAAGCAAACTCATTACTGTCAATCAGTGATTCTACTTTTATGAAGCGGGGAACGACGATGCTTAACTACGAGCAGCGGCACCCGATTATCAGCCATTAGGTATATCATCTCGTCGTCTACAGCCCCGCATAAGCCTTATTCGCTCATTGTGAGCGCCACACTCCGCGACAAAGCCGTCCTTCAGACGGCTACAGGGGTTGCCGAGGCCGTTGTATTTGCGCGTTTGGTTGGGCATAGGTAGAAACTGCCTGATGATCAACAAACGCGCTACGAAATTTATTGATGATATATACCTGGAGAGGGAACATGTTCTTCTGTAAGAACAGATTTGCCCGCGTCATGACTGCGATCTGGACTCGTTCCTGTGACCCCCCATTGGGTGCAGCGAGGTTTCGTATCCACTTTGCAATCGCGTCGTATTGCGCGAACGCTTCAAGCAACCGCTTTCTGGCGGCGGAGGCTTCTTTCGTAGGCTGAGAATCATGACTAGACTCGAATGAGCGGTTAAAAATTCCAGGTGACGAGCCACGAACGTCAGGCTAAGAATCAATTCTTGGAACTGCGGTAGAGAGTCTTCAATCTCCTTCTCCAGAGCAATGAAAGCATCGTAAAGCCTGACGAACGTCGGGACATGAGTAGCTTGCTGGTGATACTGCTGTCGTCTGTTGAACATAAGCAACACCTCCCTGACTGATAACCCCCTACACATACAGCAACACAGGCCGACACTGATTGCATATTCTGACGCCTCGTAGAAACTTCTCTTCCTCTGCAAGTTCCTGAGGTGGTATTGGACCGCCGACAGTTGAGGTCTTCCGCTTCCGTACACCATAGTCAACACCCTCACCCACTTCTTCAATCTCTCGCGTCTTGGGATCGACAACGAACAGAATGGAGCATAATTGCGGTCGTTGAGGTCGTTTCACCGGTTGCGCACATATTATCTGTCCACATAATCGGCAATGATGCTTTCGATTGGTGAGCTGGTGGAAGTTGGCCCTACAAATTTTTTCAAATATAGTGTGGGGGAAACACGCAAACACCTACAGACACAAAGGGCACTTGCTTACGGCTGAATCTTCTTCCCACGGAGTTATCCGTTGTTCAGCAGCTGCAGTCTTGTGAACAGTAGCACCACAAGGACCAAGAAAAACAAACATCGAGTATCCTCCTTGCCCCCACTCAAAATACTCTTGATGTCAATATCACGCATTAGACGTATAAGAGTGTCGTTTAGACTAGGGTTATCGGTGAGACCCCCCAAATTATTCGCCAGGAAAGCTTACGCGGTAGGCCTGGTAAGGCACACTGGGTGCGTTGTCCGTCATTCTGAGAGGTCACTGCGGGAAGGTCATGATGGCGGCACGGAAACCGCGCTTGTCACGTCAGGTTACACATCTTCTGAGCTGCTACTTATGTCGGCTCCCTCAGGTATCGAGGTCACCGATGAGCTGAAGAAAATATTCGGCGAGGCAGTCGACAGCAAACAAACGCGGTTCATCAAAGTCTCAATCGTGAATGGTTTGTCGTGCGACCAGGCTCTACACCGTTCACAATCTTCCAAGAGGCTCTCGTCCACACATCATCCATTCCAGTTCAAGGCTCCTTTCAAGAAGATCTCCAATTATTGGACTCGGAAGACATCCTCCAAGCAAATACTCCTGCCTACCTATTGACCAAACTTGACGATAATGAATGGCTCGTCATCTACTTTGTCCCAGACACGGCCAAAGTCAGGGAGAAGGTGCTCAATGGTCGAATTCCAAATATTAACACTCTTATACGCATCAGATGCTCTATGCGTCTTCACGCGCGTCGCTTCTCAAATCCCTTGGTTCCTCCCTCTTCACTGACTCGATCTTCGCAACATCCAAGGCAGATCTGACTCCAGAAGCATATACTGCGCATCGCAGGCATGTGACTGCACCAAAGCCTCTTTCTGCCAGCGAACAGGAAATGGCCGATGTTCGTGCCGCAGAAAGACAAGCAGGTGGCTTGAGCGCGTACCAAGGAAGCCGTGCAAGGACCTCCCATATTGGTCAAACTGTCGGCATGGCGTGGGCCGAGGACCTTCAAGAAACCGTGAAAGGACTCGGCGAGGGCGATGATTCCGTCCTGGTCGTTCTAGTCAGTGAATTTTACCTAATTTCCCCTCAAACTCACAACAACAAATATAGACCATCGATATAGCTACCGAGACTGTCGTGCTTCATTCCTCAGCGCCCACATCAGCCGACCAGGTTGGATCCAGTCTCCCAGCAGACAGTCCCAGTTATGCGTTCTTTGCTTGGAAGCACTCTCCCTCGCTCCGCGACATCGGTATGTTACCTCTTCACAAATAAGCAAGGAATAACTTCTTTTACTAGTCTATCTCTATTCGTGCCCATCTGGTAGCCCGGTGAAGCAACGCATGGTCTATGCATCAGGCTTCCATTCTGTATACCTGGGAGGCAAAACGCTACTTGAAGGTTCGCCTACATCCCTCCACACGCGAAAATTCGAAACGTCGACGCCGTCGGAAATCAACGAAGCATATTTGCGGTCTGAGCTGGACTTGAACGCGACCACGCCAGGAAGCGGCACTCAGACGCCTATTGGAGGAGGTCAAGAAGAGCAGAAGAAGCCCTTTGCACGTCCTCGCGGACCTAAGAGACGATGATTTCCAATGTATTACAACTCCATGTCCTCTTTTCTCCCTCATTGACGAATAAGGCAACTCTCTTGCCAAATTTGGAATATCATTATTAGCATAACAAACGACTACAATACTTTCTGCCCATCCACGGTCCCTAATTCCAGGCGTGTTGCGCGTAGATTCCCAAAATTTCCGTGGCGAGGACGTTTGTGTAAGGAAGCACATCGGCAGTTGTGAACACCTTGGCGGATTGGACCGAGTTGACGATGGACAGCAGCTGTGTCTGGATGAAGTCAACAAACACAAGGTCGACTATCGTGTCATCCGAGACGTCAGGTGGGGCCGACGAAATGAAATCCGGAATCGGGTTAAAGGCGAGCGGCACATGGGGTGTATCGTCGCCAACCCCGGGACAGGCATCGCTCGTGACATAGCCAACTGTGAGGTTACCAGCGGCCCGGAGCCCAGCGCCGTTCTGCGCAATGTCTCGTCTATACATTTCTTCGATCCATTCACGGTAGCGTGTCTCGACATAGCCACGTGCCCAGAGCTCGGTCTCGAGGGAGCGTCGCTCATCGGCACCAGCGTGGTTGAGTGTTGGGAGCACTTTCTTGGCCGCACCAAAGGGGACGGTGAGATAGAGGAATGAGTCGGCAAACGGAGAGACCGTAAGCTGGTCGTTCTTTGTGAAAGGGCCGGCATAGAGGTCAAATCGGAGAGAACCGCTATTGGTGATCATGATGTTCGGGTTTCCTGCACGAGTGTTGTTGACGGTAAGAGAGTATGGCATGACCTCGGAGACGAGGGAGAGCACAGAATTATTTGACGGATATGGGGCCCTATTCGCGTTTAGTTCTTCTGGTAATGACGAGAATAACTCGACTGACTGATTAATGGTAAAGTCGTGCGGAGCAGTACCATACTGGAAGCTCAAGTCGAAGGTCTTTGCTAACTTCTCCAAACCTTTGGTGATGCTGCGACCCCATGCAGTGTCGAAAGAAAAGTTGCCGCGGCCAGTGTGATACTGATCACTTGTCAGTGAAGACTCCAATTTCTAGCAACGGAAAATTTACCTCGTAGGTTACACGGTTAGGATCGAGATAACGGCGACTAAAGGTAATATTTTTTGTGCTGTGACCATGTTGGTGGCCTTTGGGAGCAGGAAGATCTGCGCTCATCCAGCCTGTGCCATTTCAGTTGTGTTGTTGTTGAAGTTGATCTAAGCTCACGAACCAACTGTTTCCATGTATCGACCACTTTCCAGGGACATGGAGCGACCATCGAGTTGCACTGAATGCTTTGAGATTATATCAACTGGAAGGCTGGAAAACCCTCACAGCAATCGCGAATATGAGTGTGTCCACCGAGAATAAGGATGGGAGTAGTGGGATGAACAGCGCGGATTGCATCGAACACCAATGGCCAATTGTCCTTGGCAATAGGCATGTGTCCAGCGAGCAGAAAGACGTCGGGCTCCTCTGCGATAGCGTTGGAGAACTGATAGGCACATGAATTGATTCAAACATGCCGCCGAAAGTTGAACTTACCCAAGCTTCTTTGACCATGTCTGCTACAGGCTGAACGGTAGTGTTGGCCTATTTCTGGTGAGCATTATCTCACGGAGCCAATGCTATCCTCACAGCATTCCCCTTGAAGTTGAAGAGAACACCTAGAGCCGTGATTTTGCGGCCCCTGGAGTATACGAATCAACATCGGAATCTTGCTTGATTCCCGACTCACTTGCGAGTTGTGAATTTGGCGAAACGACCGCCAACAGGTCGGCTAACGCCGTCGATGGTTATATTGACATTGCTCGACAGATAGCGACCCTTGAAGTGTGGGGCGAAATTTCTGTACATGTCGAGTGTGTTCTAGTCCGCACTTAGCCGATAACATTCAATGCGGGTCATCACTCACGTTGTAGATGTAAAGCTCGTGGTTCCCAATAGCCATCACGTCATAGGGTAGTTGCTTGTAGAACTCGTTCGAGGCTTGAGCATCAATACCACCTGGGGGGAATCCATCTGAAAGACCAGTCCCATCATGCAGGTCCCCAGAGTCAACGAGTAAAAGGTCGACGTCTTTTGCTTTTGCTATTTCTTTCATGTGGGTAACGAACGACGCGAAGTCTCCCAGATCGCCGCTGTAGTTGGGCTCAGGGAAACTCGTCTTTTGGTGACCAAGCAACCAACCTGGCGAGAAGACGCGTCAAAAAGTAAAGCAAGCAAAAGGCGAAAAAGGTATACCATGGCTATCGGTTGTATGGATGATATTAAGAGTCCCCCACTGAAGTGGTCGGGTTGGGGGAGTCAATTTCGCGGTGGGAAATTCCCGTTTTGTGTGGGAGTGGTCATGACCGTCTCGGGCGTGAATATGATCATCGCCGCACGCGACAACGGCGCCAGCAAGAGCGAGACTGACGATGAGGGACCTCATGAGGAATGGGAAGGAGCGCTGGCATGTTGTAAACGGAGTGGTGAGTATAAATACGCGGTCAGGTAGTGAAAAGGTCCATGTGCTCTCTGGAGCTGTCACAATTGATGTCCTGATGCGCGTTATCTACATGCGAATGCCGTTTCCTAGTTGAAGAGTGCTCACGTTCGTCTCTAAGATGGCCAACGTGCAATGTACCTTAAGATCGCCATTAACCAATACTGATACAGCAGATTACAATTTAGAGTCGGTCGTTCAATCGTCGTCGTCATCGTCGTCTTGGTTTTGAGCCTTCTCTTCGGCACGCATAGCACCAGCAATGTCCCCAGTCTCGCCCTTTTGCTCCGCTAATCTCCTACCTAGAAGGGAGAGCTCAACATTCTATCACAAGTGAACACTACAACGCACGAATCAATGTGTGGATGGACTCTTGTGTTCGTCGTTGTAGTTTTGCCAGTTTCTTGTCCATTTCGCGCTTCAAGTCCCAATTTGGTCTTTTTGGAGCAATGTTGAAGATGTCCTAGTCGACGATTCAGTTTAGCAAAGAAGGTACAAGGACAAGCAGAACTCACCAGCTCCTGCGCTCTCCGTTGCTCATCTTCTGTGATGATTTTCTCGGCCAGCCCAGCCACGTTGTTTTCAACAGTGTCCTTCATTTCCGTGTCATCTTGGAATACAGGTCGCTTCTTGAGCGTACGAGTCTCAGGGTCAAAATTGCGACTCTTTAGTATGGAATCATCCGCGCTGGAAAGCATCATTAGATCTCTTCCCCAAGCTAGAACAAACATAGCGCACCCGTCTCCGCCCTCCTTTCTTCGACGTAGCGCGAGTAGACGCGCCTTTCGTGCCTCAGAGGTGGCGGAAAGAGAAGACTCCATTTATGTGACCGCCGACGTGACCACCATCAAACGCGGCTTTTTCCCTCAAAATTCTTCAACGCGACATGACCTGAAAATGTGGATACATCAACGCGTCCCTGTCCGCGTTTTATGTCGCTTGAGGTTCAGCACCTCTACTAGACGCCATGCGCCTAAGCAAATTGCTATGGAAGAGTTCGCATGCGATGTAATCCGGTTTGTGCCGAGTTCATAGCGTATATTTGGTGCTTAGAAAGGTTGCCAGAAACTTTTCAATCATCGCTCATATTGGTTTGCTGGGTTAGTACCTCCCGTCTATACCTGGCTAATGTCAGCCAGATCACGGCAAGTCGACACTGGCGGACAGACTACTAGAAGTTGCTCTTCCTCTGTACCCGCATCACACCGCTAATTAGGACTCAGTTAACTGGGACAATCAAAAAGAAGGAAATTGGGAAGAATGAGCAAGTTTTGGATAAGCTAAAAGTCGAACGCGAGCGAGGAATTACAGGTGCCTGTCTTTCTGCGTTGTTGCTACCCATCCTGACCGGCATAGTCAAGGCGCAGACTGCGAGGTTATACCATTGACTTTCATATGCTTGGGTATTAAACATGGATTCGTAGTATGGTTCATTCCGTGAATGGACGAAGACATATCTTGAACCTGATCGACACACCCGTTAGCTCTTTCTGTGCCGATGGAGGAATCTGCGTTGATTATTTTCCAGGGTCACGTAGACTTCTCCTGGGAAGTTTCCCGCTCGCTGGCAGCGTGTCAAGGCGCGCTGCTGCTCGTGGATGCTAGTCAAGGAGTGCAAGCACAGTCTATCTCCGTCTTCCACATTGCTCAAGAACGAGGCCTCAAAATAATCCCCGTCTTGAACAAGGTCGTACTTGCCTAAACTCGCTGCAGCTTATTCATGTTCCTCCAGATTGACCTGCCTGCCGCACAACCTGAACGAATTGCGGCTCAAATGCAATCTACTTTTGGAACTGACCCAGCTGATATCATCCGAATATCAGCCAAAACGGGTCAAGGCGTCGACGAAGTTTTGCAGGCGATAATTGACCGGATTCCACCCCCAACTGGTTCTACTGAGGATCCTCTGAAAGCTTTTCTCTTCGATTCTTTGTAAGCAATCGTTGTTGCATGCTTTGTCAATGCTGAATTTGCTTGGAGTTATGACCGATATCGCGGCGTCATTTCCCTTGTAGCAGTTCAAAATGGTGTCCTGAAGAAAGGTATATTTTTCTAAATTCCCCGAAACGAGCCTGATGTAATACCTGTTAGGTGACCGCATTGCTTCTTATCATACTCGGAAAAAGTATGAGGTGACGGAAGTGGGCATAATGCATCCAGAAGAAACTCCAGCGACGAGTCTTTATCCTGGTCAAGTTGGCTATATTGCCTGCAACATGAAGGAGTCCTCTGAAGCGCATATTGGCGATACCCTTCATCGATCAGGATCTCCAGTAGATCCTATGCCTGGGTTCAAGCCTGCCAAAGCCATGGTAGGATTTTCTCCTGTACCAAGTGATTGGTTTCAAGCTCTTTAGGTTTATGCAGGAATTTTTCCTGTGGAGAGTAATGATTTCCCGAAACTCGAAGAATCCATCAAACGCGTATGTCGAGCAACAGTGTGGTTTTACCTCCCCTTTGTTGACTTGCCAAGTTAGCACTCACGGACAGAAGCGTCACTGTTCAGCGAGAATCCTCGACTGCTCTTGGACAAGGTTGTCGTCTCGGATTCCTTGGAACACTGCATATGGATGTCTTTCGTCAACGACTTGAAGACGAACATGACCAGAATCTGATCATTACGGCCCCAACAGTCCCATATAAAGGTTCGCCAGAATCTCAATTCCATCGTCTCCTCATCGATCATCCAATTCCTAGTGGTTTATAAAGACCGGGAGGTTTTTGTGAGCAACCCGACCGAGTTCCCAGACGCCCTGGAAGTGTCGAGTAAAGTCAAAGAAATCCAAGAACCTGTTGTGCGAGCTTCGATCATCGTTCCTGAAGGTGAACTATACTCGTCTACTTGGTGACTCTCGGCAGCTGAGCTCAGAGTTCGAAAGAATACTTCGGTGACATGATGGATCTTTGTTTTTCGCATCGCGGCCAGGACTTGGAGCACCGATATCTGGATGCCGGTACGACAGGTTTGTCCGCCAGCGAAAATGTGGAGGCGGTACTGACGGGTTTGTCCAGGAACAAGTTCGTCTTCACGCATCATTCTCAACTGCATCCTTCCTCTCAGCGAGATCGTCACCGACTTTTTTGATCAGCTGAAAAGTCGGAGCTCTGGCTTCGCTAGTTTCGAGTATGCATTTCCTTTCGGTATCTAACAGAAACCCATAATTTGCTCGTGCAGTTACGAGGAGGCAGGCTATCGGCCCAGCGATCTGGTCAAGGTGCCGTTCAACGTTCAATTCCTTCCAAGACGACTGATACCGCGAACAGATGGTGTTTCTGCTCAATAGTAAGGTCAGTGGGCTCTTGTGATCCGTTTACCTGAAAGCTCAACTTTTCTAGCCTGTGGACGCCCTCGCTCTGGTCATCCATCGTTCAAAGGAGGACGAGATCGGACGGCTTTGGGTAAAGAAACTGGGTATCTGATCTCAATTTGTCGTTGTCGCCCAACTCAAAAAAAAACCAGTCAAGGTGATTCCCCGGCAGCAATTCGAAGTCCCCATCCAAGCTGGTAATTTGTCCGAGTTCCGCCCATTTTTTGTACTCATTCCAGGCAGCTGTCGGCAAAAAGATCATTGCGCGGGAAACTCTCAAGGCGTATCGAGCTGACGTTACTGGTGGACTCTATGGAGGCCATGTTGAGCGCAAAATGAAGCAATTAGAGCTTCAGAAAGAAGGGAAGCGCAGAATGAAGCGGATGGGGACTGTCGAAATGCCGCAAGAGGCGTTTTTCGAGATCATGAGCACCAACAAAAGGTCATAGAATACAAATACTTATACTACAAGTGCTAATAGGCCCCGGGACACTCCACCAAAGGGTTGTCGGAAAATTTCGCCATTTTTGGCCTCAAAAATCCATCCGGACAAGCCCTCCAGGGCCTCAAAAATCCATAATCCGTCAAGGGTTGTTACGTGGAGCCGATTTTTTCGCTCGCCTGCGGCGCCGAGTGCTACTACAAGCTGTAGGTAGTAAACACCTGTGTAACTACGTGTCTGAGCGAAATGTGTTTCTTATTCCATCTACAGACTCTAACAGGCCTTTTGTACGTGTCGTTGGAGTAGGCGCGAGCGGCTGAAGCGTCACAGCAGGTAACACCCGCCACTCAAGCGCAAACCATTACCTCAAAAATCCATATTTCCGACAAGATCCGTGCCATTTTAGGCTCAAAAATCCATGTTTCCGACAAGGGTTTTTCGATTTTTCGCCCTCAAAAATCCATATTTTCCGACAACCCTTTGGTGGAGTGTCCCCGGGGCCTGTGCTAATCTAGAGAGTGGTAATCTATAGCTCGTTGTCCTCGTCATCGTATGTCTCCTTGATCAATCGATATATTGATGTTGGCGGATGGTCACCGCTGTCCAATTGATTAGATAAGCTGAATGGATGGCGAATGTCGACTTACTCGTTTGTGATGTACGCGTCGACCAAATTTGGTGGAACGTAGTCGTAGAATGGGTTGACCACGTCCACCTTGTCGACCAATGCACCCTCCTCGAATCCCAAGACTTGGCTTGGATCGCCGAAGTCCAGTGCCCCATATTCATGGTATAGATTCCATGAAGGCGTCAGTTTGAATTGACCAGCGCAGACGACCACAGGCGTGCTGTGCACGTGGGCCGCTGTTGCTGCCAATAAGGACCCCGCGATGGCAAACATACCGCCATTGGCCAGGATAGCATGGGTCCCAAGTATAACTTTGTTAACACGGGACATGAGACCATATATCGAGGAGTCGGGCACTAAAAACGTCGAAATGCCAGCCGCCGATAATGCCTGGGACATTTCACGACCACCGTATCTGGTCTAAGTGAGTAAAATGACAACATCGGGGGAATGACGGACGTTGGCGCTGTCTCCAGAACCATCACTGTGTAGTTTCGGTGATGCGCCGCAGATATTAAGAAGGATTCGACTGTTTTTGACATGCCAAGCGTCATTATGATCTCACTGAGGACGAATGAGTAAAGACTGGGGGGAATTTTGGGTTGCTTGGACGAACTCTGAATGGATGTGGTTTTGTGCGTTCTTGCCCACATTATCGTAGACCGTCTCCAACTCATCGAACACATCTTGGATGGCCTCCATTAGCACAGGCTTCAAACTCCTCGCAAACGCGTCCGGATCATCTGGATCGTTCTCCTTGATCGTGTTTTTGCTCTCTGTCTTCGGCAATGCTGTCTGCTTTCTCGGCTGGCCGAGCATCACGAACTTGGATATTGAGAATCCGGGTGAAGTAGTCGTTGTAGACCCTCCAGTCGCAGTATGATACTCTTCTCGTATATGGTGAAGCACCTTCCGCACAGTGTTGCCCACAGAGTGCTCTGTTTTGGTCAGATTTCCCTTAGCAGTAGCAAACTGTTTCACATACCTTTCGGTTGTGCCTCGACTAATCTCCGTCCAACTCCTCGAATAATGCTCACTAACTGCTCGATATTTGAAAAGCGAGATTTTGAAATAACTTGACGGAGAACAACAAGAGTCTCGAGAGCTGTGGCCCGCGAGCCCACAAGCTGCCTGTATTGTGGTGAACTGAGTGGAGAGGTCGCATTATCGAATTTCCACTAACCGTCGCCGTAGTTTCCAAGCTAAGGTTTCGACTACCCGCAGGTTTTGGGGCTGCTCCATGGTGCTGGAGAGCCCAGTGGTGGTAGTTGGCAAGGTCATTGTGTGCGATCAAAAATCGAGTCAAACTGCCAAACTCCTCTCGCTTAGATTATCTAATGATCGATTTATCTGGTGGTCATGTACAACTTCCAAGTTTATGCTCGTGCTGCTTTGCCTTGCGCGTGAGCGGCGACGTGCCAGTCAAGAACATTCGCCCATTTAGGTAATAGCTCCGAAATTTGCTCCACATCCTTGTCCCCTCGTCCAGACAGGCACTAGAGGCATATTAGCCATTGTCCAAAGTCAACTACCCAGCACTTACGATCACTATATCAGAGTCGACCGGCAGAGTCTTGGCAAGCTGGACCCCAGCCCAGATAGCGTGTGATGATTCGAGGGCAGGGATGATTCCTTCTCGTTGGGTCAGCATTCGGAACCCACGCAGCGCTTGCTCATCAGTCGCGTATGTGTATTCCGCCCTCCCCGAGTCCTTCAACCAAGCATGTTCTGGGCCAACACCAGGGTAGTCGAGTCCAGCACTGATTGAATGTGTTTCGACGATCTGGCCAGTGGGAGATTGCAAAATGTAGGTCCGAACACCATGAAGAACTCCTGGTTGTCCAGCTGAAAGTGTAGCACTATGACGGTCGCCATCTGTGCCTTCTCCGCCGGCTTCCACTCCGACGAGCCGCACAGATTTATCGGGAATAAAATCATAGAAGGTCCCAATCGCATTGCTGCCACCTCCAACACAGGCGACGACTGCATCTGGCAACTTGCCGCGGCGCTCTTGTAGTTGTCGTTTGATCTCCTCTCCAATGACTTTCTGATAGTCCCGGACGATGGTTGGGAATGGGTGTGGTCCGATACATGAGCCAACAAGGTAGTATGTCGTGGAAAGGTTTGTGACCCAGTCGCGGAAAGCTTCGTTAACAGCGTCTTTCAGTGTGCATGAGCCCGAATGGACTGGAATGACCTAAAACAGGTCAAAAAAGCACAGAAAAACAAATTGAAGGCACTCACTTTTCCGCCGAGCATCTCTATCCTGAAAACATTCAATGCCTGACGCCGAACATCTTCCGCCCCCATATAGATGACACACTCCATCCCGAATTTAGCGCAGACAGTCGCTGTCGCCACACCATGTTGGCCAGCACCGGTTTCAGCTATTATGCGTGTCTTGCCTATTCTCCGAGCTAATAGAATCTGTCCAAGGTTTTACACGGAATCACGGAGGAGGATTCAAACTGACCTGGCCTATGGCGTTGTTGATTTTGTGCGAGCCGGTGTGGTTCCTAAGAGAAGGAGAAATTAAGCTTGACATCGAAAAACAGCAACTACCCACAGATCTTCTCGCTTGAGCCAAATTTTTGCACCTCCGGCATCTTTCGTAAGATTTTCGGCAAGATAAAGTTGAGATGGGCGGTTCATGTAGCCATAATGACTTTGGAACTCTTTCCAGAATTCGGGATCAGCGATAGCAGCGTTATGCGCCTCTTCAAGCTCGACCAAGCAGTCGACAAGCGCCTCCGGCACATATTGTCCGCCGAATTGGCCAAATCTTGCGGGTAGCTGGGAAGTCCCTTTCGGGGTTTCGACAACCTCTTGAACAGCTGAAGGGGTTACCACTGATGGAGGACGGACACGGGGTGGTTGACCCTTTTGACTGATCAGTCGACAGAAAGCTTCCACCGCGGTAGGAATTTGGCCTGGCGCTGCGTCCTTGATGATAGAAACTAATCGGCTACCAATCACAACACCATCTGCACCAGCATCCGCAACAACCTCAAAATGCTCGCGGTTGGCCACACCAAATCCAACCGCCAAAGGTACAGAGGCGTATTGGCGAACGCGAGCCACGATATTAGGCAGCTCAGCGTTCAATTTAAGTTGATCTGAAGAGCCCGTAGTTCCCATCTGGAAATACATGAGACGTGAAGATATCAAGGAAAACCAGGCCGACCTTGGAAACAACGTAGATGAAAGTGTCGGCAATAGAGGCAAGGAATTTGATTCGTCCTAACGTAGTAGACGGGGCTATTAGTGGGACATAGGATAGACTGTGGAATTGATTAAACGGGCACACGACCAAGACTTGCCACAAACTTTGCTTTATTGCACTTTTCACGGAAGCCGATCGCCTCTTCAGGGGGTAAGTCGACCATGATGAACCCATTTGCACCGGCTTCTACCGCATCTTGTATCGATTTTTCTTCACCATATGCCAACAATGGGTTGTAGTACCCTGCATCTGTTTAGCTTCGCGAGGTGGGCGATGCAGAGGAATTCCGGACCCATGAGGAGTATCGGTGCTGTAAGTCCTTTGCTTCTAGCTTCTCTGACTTGACCGAGAACAGTCGCATAGTCCATGTCATTCTTCAGCGCAATCTTATTTGAACGAGATTAGACTGGATTGGCAGGAAAATGGCAAGTCAATCACGGTGTTGGTTTCTTGAATAACTGGTCCGTCGGCGATCGGGTCAGAGAACGGCATGCCAAGCTCTATAATGTCCGCGCCGCCTTCCTGCATTGCAAGAAGTGTGGGGACGGTGTCATCTTTTGTTGGATAGCCCGCAGTGACGAAAGTGACGAATGCAGGGACGCCCTACGCAAGGTAAGTTTAGAAAGTGTGGTTTTCCGGGTGCGGACTTCGGCTTTCTTGTCTGCAAACACTTTTCTGAGGGCCTCCATGAGAGTAGGAAAGAGAGATTTGATTCGGTCGCGCTTTGGAGATCACGTCACGTGGCCCTTTCTGAGATTAACGCGGTCTTTCCTTCTTGCCTTACCGTTGTCGGAAGGAGCGCCAGCCAACCTGCGTCGTCTTTGGCTCACGGCTGTCGAAAATGTTTCCCCAGGGGAAAACCGGTCTTGCTAGCGATGAAACACACGTACTAGTTATATACACGGGCGGCACAATAGGCATGCTACTGGGAAACCGAGGCAGTTACGTTCCGGAGCCTTATTTCTTAACCGAGACACTCAAAAGGTGGGCGAAAGTGCTCTTCTGCAACGTTCTTAACGCTCTCTACTCAGCCAGACTCGTTTCCATGACCCGATGCAAGACTCTCTATTTTCCAACTCAAGCTCCGTCCAAGGCTTCAGACAGTTTTTGAGCGGGAGCGGACGATCAAGTCCATCTCAAAGTCCGACAACTTCGCAATTTCCACAACCCACACTCCTTGTGCGGTCTTCTCGGCCAATCGGTAGTTCTGCCACCCTTGACGTCAACAAGAACGACCGGCCTCCGCCTCCAACTTGTGTCCAAGTCGCCGAAAACGTCTACGAAGCTCATCTGCCGTCCTTAATCACGCCACGAACCTCGGTTTCGGGGAGCAGTGGCAGCAAATCTATTCGCTATGCAATCCTTGAAGTCAGCAGCACCTCACCAGGACTGAATACATTTTCATCGTCCTAGTGGAATCCGTTATTGGACAGTAGCAACATCGAGACCGAAGGTTGTCTATCGCCCTTTCCGTTTGTTTTTCACTCAGTTTTTTGCCTTAGTACAGACTGGATCCGACTCGCGTCTGAAATCGAGCAAGTTGTTTCGCTCTTTGTCATGTCTGCTTATGGCTCAATAGACTGAACTATTCATTCGATGCATTTGTCATTCTGCATGGCACTGATACAATGTCCTACACATCGAGCGCCTTGAGTTTCTTACTGGAAGATTTAGGAAAAACAGTGGTAGGTTTAATAAGTCTTGGAACCGTCGAGAAGTTACAACAGCCACAGATATTGACTGGTGCCCAAATTCCCTTGTCTCAACTCCGCAACGATGCAGTCGATAATCTCATGGGTGCTTTAACCATTGCAGGCAACTACATCATACCAGGTCATGATCATAACTGTACTCCCTTCGGACTAGGTACTGACAATCTACAGAGACAACTCTGTACTTCAATCATAGTAGGTCATTCTACCCCGTCTCCGAAACGAAATAACAGCCCACGCAGCGCTATTTCGTGGAAACAGGGTCTCCAAGATGTCATCCTATGATCTCTCTGCGTTTGACAGTCCCAATTTCGCCCCCTTGGTCAAAGTCGGCATCGATATCCATGTCAACTGGAGCGATGTTTTGCGACAGACAAGTTTACGTCGCTTTAGGGCCCATAAAGGTAATTCTAACCTGTAGTCAAACCCCGAATACTTAATCGTTGCCCCAGAAATGAGTCCTCATGTTGGTAGGTATATTTTTTGTGGGCCACTTTGGTTCGCTCAATATTTCAAGCTACTCTACGGCTATTTCCGGGTATAACAACAGCAACAGTTCGTGCATTCCTGTCGCCTCCCGTTCGAGGTGTTGTATTGGAAAGTTTTGGATCTGGCAATGCCCCACAGCGGGCTGACCTGCTCTTCGCATTCAAAGAAGCTTGTGATCGCGGTGTCATTGTTGTCGCGATCTCTCAGTGTATCAAGGGGTCGGTCTCTGATGCGTACGAAGCTGGGCGAGAATTGTCGGCAGCTGGGGTTATTGCTGGCAGCGATATGACGCCAGAGGTGATTTTTCCATGTGACCTGGCTCTTTTTCTTATCACCAGTTTCAGTGTGCATTGACGAAACTGAGTTATCTGTTGTCCAAACCAGAGTTCAGTGTCGAAGATGTTCGCAAGTTGATAGGCACACCACTGCGCGGCGAGCTGACGAGGGCATCTGCCGCGACTTTGGCTGAGGAAACACTGCAGCAAAACTCGGAGAATATTCAAGGGCTGTTATCAGAATTTGTCAGAATAACATCTCGGCCTTCATCAGCACCTACACCACAGATAACCATCTCGCTACCTGATGGAGCAACACAGGATGCTGCTGCTTCTTGGACTTCGACAGTCTCGGAAGCGGTATCTACAGAAGGAGCACTTCTGCCCTTCTTGATCCACGCGGCCGCAGCTAGGAACGACACAGAGGCTCTCAAGTTTTGCATCAAAGCTGAGCACGACAATGAAATGATCTCCACACCAGGGCCTTTACACGTAGCGAGTGGATTGGTCAACGCACTCGACCCTTCATGGGGTGGGTCTCCGTTGCACGCTGCCTCTGCAAACGGAGCCATCGAATCTGTGGACATCCTGCTACATTCGGGGGCCCTTGTCCATCTTCGAGATACCTTGGGTCATACTGCGCTCTATTATGTCTGGTTTTCTATTTCTCATCCGTCTCATCTCTTATTTTTGGTAGGCTGCAAGACAAGGACATGAAAACGTCGTCGATATGCTGATCCAAGCGGGTGCTCGGCTGAGTGGCTCGGACGGTACTTTTGCACAACTGGCGGTGAGGACCGCTACCGAGAATGGTGATGTGGTCTCTTCAAATATCTGGGCGAAGGCTGGTGTTCCTAGAGAATCAATCTCAATGTAAATCAAGTGCTATCAACCCCACAACGCGTCCGAGTCTTTCTTTCATTCTGTTTCCTGGTGGGTTCTGGGAGGTCGATTATGTGGACGCTGTCGGGATCAAGCGTGCACATCACTTCCAGAATGATCATGTCTTGACCCCTTGCACAGGACGCGCAAGAGCGTATCTCATGAGCTCCGTAAACTTGTCCCTGATGTTGATTGGAAATCGGTGTTTCCCTACATGAGACCTTTGAGTACGTTCCCTTATTCGTGCCCATTTTGATTTAGCTTTGAGCGGATAAAAGTTCCAGGACGCCCGGGCCAAGTTCGATACTACGTCAAAGCACACCAGCGGGAACTTTTGACTCAGCTCTCCGCCGCAGATGATGATACTGTCCGACGTGACATATTATTAAATATCGTCAAGCAGAAACCGTCCGTATCATGCAGGTTTGTCAAGGCACATTGCGTCGGGCCGTTACTAACTATGTGAATCAGCATGGCCAACTTTGTGTTGTCGGCAAGTAAACTACTGAGTGAGCAACTCGCTGAAGAAAGAAAAGCAAAGGAAAAGGCTGGAAACACGTAAGCCAGAAATTTTCAAAGAGGTTGATTCCAAGGCCACTGATCTAGAATGGCCACTTGGTCGTATGTTGGCGGACGGAAAAGGGCCAGGGGCCGGGTTTAAGGAAAATTGACTCAACATGGATACTTATGACGGAGTTTGGTGGCTCGGTCAAAGTGGGTAAATTGAAGATGAGAGAGTGTGTCTTTCGCGGCGCACCAAGCTTCACCTTGCTTTGCAAGGTCCCCCACCCTTGACTTGACGAGTTTGCAGCGCTGTGGCCACCTGGGGAGCAAGCAACTTGTTTCTCTGGAAGAATATCTCATCCACATTCGAGCAGCTGCAAATGCACGTGCCGCTCTAAGCTCGGACATTGTAATTATTGCTCGCTCGGATGCCGTTGCGCCTGCTGGACTTTCCGAGGCGATTCGCCGCTGTAAAGCAGCAATTTCCGTCGGGGCAGATGTTGCTTTCATCGAAGGATTCCGTTCTCAAGAAGAAGCCAAAGAAGCCGTTCGTACATTGGCTCCCCGTCCTACTCAATCTTGCGACCAATGGTGTGACTCCGAACTGGACTGTCAAGGAGGCGAAAGAGATGGGCTTCAAACTTGTTATATTTCCGTGTTCCGGGATGATTCCTGCTGCCCTGGCCATTCGGAAAGCATACCAGGAGATCAAGACACAAGGAAGTGATGTTGAAGGGTGCGGAGGCTTGGGACCAAAGGGTGTCTTTGAAATCGTTGGTTTGAATGAGATAATGGATGTCGATGCTGGCAGTTTTTCGCTCGAGAGTTGAAGCGCGTTTGATCGTGGTGTAAAAATAATATCACATGAAAGAGCGCACTGATAAACGCAAACAAGGCTACTTTGTTATCTGTGCCTCGTGGCCTTCACGTTTTGGACGTCTCCCTTCCTTTTCATGCGTCCAGCATTATACTCCCCCTCCACGTTCGACATTTAGACAACATTGAAGTCGAGGCAAGGGCAAGGGTATCGCGGGTGATGTATCTTTGCAGATGGGCTGTCGAGATCGCTTACCAAGTGTGTGAATCCCGCCCTTAGCGAGAACGGAACGGGTTATGACGGAGTTTGGTGGCTCGGTCAAAGCGGGTAAATTGAAGATGACAGAGAGTGTCTTTCGCGGCGCACCAAGCTTCAAATCAAATGAATATGAAAGCATTTCTCAGCAATCGATTCACTCATGAGATTTGGCGCGTTTCTTTGCTTCCGCGGACCATTGGCGGCTGATTCAGACGGTCGCAGGACTTTGCTTGGGCATGGCCGAGGATTCGAGAGAATTCGAGTCTCCCGTAGACACCGTGGCCAGCATCTCTAGTGGTTTTGGACGACCAGGGCTAGGGTTCAGACAATGCATCAACAACATCACGACATCAATCTCGACTTGATCGGGGAAATAGAAAAATTTCCGTGTCGGGGCGAAATCTGAGCAAAATTGCTCGTCGTTGAGGCCAGTGGCGGACTCGGAGCGGGCATAAGCGCAGTTGGTGACGCGTCACCAGTGCTCGGGGTGAGTAATCGACGATATCTGGCCAGAGAATGCCAAATCTGGACGGTCCTTTTTATAATCAGTCGGCTCGGCTATACTCCCCTTTACCCTGTGACGGTAACTCTTTCTAACTCTTCCTCGTACTGTTTTCTTCTGCGCAACTGCGCCGGACGGCCGTGATGCTCACCCTCACCCCTGGCTCGTCCTGCGATGTTTGCGCAGAAGAATACGGTCCCCATTGCCTTCCGAATTCAATCCCTTGCGGTCCGTTTTTTTTCTTCTATTTTCCTCGCTCTTTTTTTCGCCGATTCTTACTTTCTTCCTGCAGGACACGTTTTATGCGCTAGCTGTTGCACGACTATTGCAGAGAAGACTGCCCCCAAGCTGTCTCCTGCCTGTCCCTTTTGTCGAGAAAATTTTACTCCCGACTCTGTTCGTCTAATTCGACTCGATTTCAATACTAGCGGGTGGACCACGCCCCGGCGGCTTCCCAACATGGACACCAACCCTCCCGACTTTGCTAGCGATGCTTGGAACAAAAGACTTATGATGGCTGACGGCTGTTCTCGCACTCGTCTCGATGCTCGCCGTCTCGAAGCCAAAGTTGCCAAAGTCGCAGCAAAGAAGTGCTCAGTGGAGGAGGTGACGCATCTCCACAAGGAGCTCCAAGAGTGGCTCATGTCCGATCCCAAAGACGACGACGAGGTAGGTTTTCGGCTATCGTTTCCGCTCCAATTCGCTAACCCCCCATCGATCCACAGTCTCGTGCACAAATCTCGTCGTTGACTCTTAGCGCAGCCCTTTTACGCGCGATTCTTACGAATCATGTGGCTCATTCTGAGTCAAGCCGGTTGGCCAAGAATGTTGAAGCCAATCTCAAGACCAAGCTCGATGACCTAGACCTCATGAACAGTAAACTCGATTCGGAACTGAAACGGTGCGTCGACTTGTCTGTGTCTGCGATGACCTGAACTGACTGGGTTTTTTAGACAAGTGAGTCACGATTTTCCGGATTAGTCAGCAACTAACCAGTTTTAGCGAACCGCATATTCCCAAAAGGCACAGGAATGTCAAAGCCTGAGGCAGGAGATGAGTCGCATGAAAATTGTCCCCGCGACCCAACCTGCCCCGCCACCACCCACCTCGTCCATGGAGGCCCGTCATCTTTCGCCATCGCCTCCACCGATGCCCACAACATACACCTCATCGGCATCTTCCGCTGCTCGCTTCAATTCGACCCATACTCGTTCCTCATCGTTGTTTTCTCGACCAACAACACCTGCTCCCCATCTGGCACGCGCCCAAACACCTGGCCCAGTCTCCCCTCCTCGTCCTTACACTCCAGCCCCACCCAGATCCCAAACTCCCGGTCCAACACGTTCCAATAGCATTAGCTTCGCCAGCGCTAACGCGGCTGCCCGTCTCGAGAAATCACCCACTAGAGCTCAGACGCCAGTTCCGCCTTCCCGAGCCAACACAACGACCCCCACCCCAACGCGTCACGTGTCCATGACTGCCGCATCGACTCCTCTTCGCTCGCATACACCAGCTCCAGTCCAGACAACCGCACCTGCTCCCCGTGCCCGTCGTCTGTCACACCCATCGCCGCCACCACTTGCGGCTCGATCTCTTTCAGAAGAGAAATATGAAGCACAAGCACTGCACCAGCGCTGGCTTCCCAACACCTTCGACGACAAAGTCAAATATATGGTTCGTCCCCCCCTCTCGGTCGGCCTACACATTCCGTGGCTATCGAGTCTCGGTCGAGGAAGAAGACGATGATTAATGAAAAGGAAAAAAAGAAGAAAAAAAAACGCAACGACACGGCGCAATGAACTCACGGACTCACGGACCTTTACGACTCAACGACATCGTGGTTAATGCCACATTACATTAATGCCCAAACGCGTTCTCCCGACTTCCATATCGGGTACGACTCATCCCCCCCAAAAAAACACAAACCGGCGATCTCGTCGTATTTCCATTTTCGCTTTTGGCACACCGCATACTAGTCGGTCACTGCTTCTGCGCACTCTCCGATTCGCAGTACTGTACATATTCGAATATTCGTTTTCCCTTTCCGACAACTTTTTCCCCGACTCTTCGCTTCTGTTTTCGCTCTCCATCTTCCTCTCTCCCGCGTCCTTGGATATGCTCATCCTTGTAGCCCACACTTTGATACCACGCACGTACATACCAGCCTTTTACTCTTTTTTTATCGAGATTGGGTCTCGTTTGCTTCGTTTTCCCCAGCTTTCACGCTCCTGGACGCGGTCTTTCTGTAGCACCTCACGTACCTAGACACCATCTGCACGATTACTTAACTCTGCATATCTCATCCAGACGGACAATCTCCCTCCCACCTTCTTCGTATATAGCGAGAAGTGAAAGTACCATAGAACCGCGTGTAATGGAATGAATGATGATTCGGAGGAGAAATGAACTTTTTGGAGGGCAAGCCTCGCGGAGCACGCGAGGCGAAAGCATACTCACCAGGAGATCAAGACACAGGGAAGTGATGTTGAAGGGTGTGGAGGGGTGGGACCAAAGGGTTTCTGGTTTGAATGAGATAATGGATGTCGATGCTGCTGCAGGGGGCAGTTTTTCGCTCGAGAGTTGAAGCGCGTTTGATCGTGGTGTAAAAATAATATCACATGGAAGAGCGCACTGATAAACGCAAACAAGGCTACTTTGTTATCTGTGCCTCGTGGCCTTTATGTTTTGGACGTCTCCCTTCCTCTTCATGCGTCCAGCATTATACTCCCCCTCCACGTTCGACATTTAGACAACATTGAAGTCGAGGCAAGGGCAAGGGTATCGCGGGGCTTACCAAGTGTGTGAATCCCGCCCTTAGCGAGAACGGAACGGGTTACTTATGGATGCAAATGCCAAAGAGCAAGTCCTTAAACAATTTGCCTGTCATGAGTGATTCATCAATATGTGACGTCACGCGTTTACTTCAGTCTACTTCAGTCCTCTTCAGTCTCCCAAGTATTTCAAGCAAGGATGGTCCGCAAGAAGTCTAAGCTCTTCATTTCCAACGTAGACGGTTTCAATATGATTCCACTGGACATACTTTGCGAGGTAAATACTCCCTCTCATCTCCTCGTATACCATATACTTGACTTGTTGCCAGATTTGCAACTGTCTTTTCCCTGTGGATCTGCTTTCGTTGGCTCGTACCAACAAATCTATTCGAAATTTTATTCTAAACCGCTCCAATATTGCCATCTGGAGGGCAGCGTTTGCTAACAATGCTGACGCTGGTGGTCCCCCTGGCTGCCCGTCGTACCTGTCTGAACCGGCCTGGACGCGTGTGGCATTCGACAAATCATGCCAGGTAACTCTTTATTAGGGCTCACAATATATGTTGTTCATCATACCTTCCAGGTCTGCGAAGTTGCCCTACGTGACGACATTCGCCATGATTCTGTCTGGTGGGAGTTTGGTGGCCGATATTGCGAAGACTGTCTGAAGCAAGAGTATGCGCCGATTCTTCATTGAGGTTCGCGGTCTACTGACTCCTCGTCCTGACAGGACATGCAAGCGTATACCCAACGAGCTGCGACAACTCGTCTCTGGAGTTGCTTGGGATTCCGTGTTCCCCCGCATTCGCCAGGGTGCGTAATTTTTCTATGATGATTGAGGACTGGTACTGAGCCGATAAAAGGCGAAGAATACTATAGCAGTGGCTGGTACTATGTCAAAGCACACCAACAGGAGCTTCTAGCTCGGCTGTCTGCGACAGACGATGATGGTCTCCGGCGCAAAATCATCGCAAAGCGCCAAGCGGAAACTGCTCGCATTATGCAGGTTTGTTGCCGCATATCCTTTCGCACAAGATGCCATAACTAAGTTTTCGGTAGCATGGCAAACGTTGTCGAAGCTGGGCATTTAAACAAATCATGAATCGAGCTGACGAAGACGAGAAGAAAGCAGAGGCCAAAGCTGACAAGGCGGAGATGAGAAGAATGGAGAGAATACACGAGTATAATTGTGGGGAATGCTTGAAAACGACCCTAACTCATTTGCAGGATCGTGAAGCGGATGAATGATCGTGGATGGAACGACGAGGCATGGATGAAAGGGGGCAAGTTGCTCGATCAATTGAGCAGTTACCCAGATATTTTAGCTGCGAAGAGAATAGCCACTCGTGAAGTTTTTATCAGCATGATGCCAGCACCCTGCTAATATCCTCTTTACTCAGGCTCGCAGGAATCCGATGATGGACTTGTGGCACGACTGAGCCTAGACAAGCGGAAATTCACATTAACAAGCCGTCTTGGAATCTTTGAAAGACAACGCTCTGGGTTATCCACTATCAATACTGCTCAGCTCAAGATTGTCCCTCGCCCGATTGACGTCGCATTGATTCCACAAGTCCGCACTCTCCTCGAAGGTGATAGGGACTTGATTGAGTTGATGGAGGAATTACGACCTACGATGCCCCAACTTTTCAAACGATGGGAAATAGATGCGTTGGCGCAGGTTACGGAGCATGCTCGCAATTGTTTGGGCTTACCAAATGCGCCAAATCCGCTTGAACTCGCGATAGCCATTGTTCCATGCCCAGCTTCATGTCCTCAGAAGCACACCTACTTCGATAAACTACTGCAACACTACTGCCCGCGCCTTGGGTCCCAATGGTCAAACCCTGTCCCTCATGGTACCCCCACGGATACAGACTCTTACCAAGAGGTTGCAACATCCGTATATTCTCAAGGTCCATTTCATGCATCCGTCTTTCGATTCCAAAGCGGGCCGGTTGCCGAAGGCCTGAAGAATGTTGTGAAAGCCTATGGTCTAAGTCCGGAAAGCGCAACGTTTGACGATATGAAGTCCCAAGCCGCAGGTAGACTTCTTCGGTGCTTGTCGTGCGATGAGAGATTCCGCAGTGCACGCAGGTCGCGTCAGTCTGACATCAGCACGGCTCCCAAGACATGGCGAGACGCGGTGAGTGGCTAATTACCCTACCTGACGTTGTTTCATACGAGTAAAAAGGTGAAGCATTGCGCCCAGGTCCATTATGAGGATGATGAGGCGACGGAATGGGAGTTGTGCGATTGATAGTATTGTAGGTACCGTCATCCACTCAACCCATAACCTTTGGAAAGCTTTCAGACCCGCAATCACTAGAAGATCACGTTGTCACTATTTTCAACCAAGATGCATCCGAGCCATCAAACACGATGTGAGAGGCGAGTTCATGACGCGTGCCACGTCCCTTTGTTTTTTTGTCCCTTCCCTTTCTTCTCCATCTCTCTTTGTTCCTCTTACACGCGATAAGGATAAAATGTGAGGACTACATAACGGGCCTACTTTCTTTCATCCTTTCACCACGACAAGGATGGACAAGGAGTCCAAGCTCATTTCTGACCTACCACTTAGCTTTAGCACGCTTCCACTGGATGTAATCTACGAGGTACACAGTTTCCAGTCTCGCATCTACAAGTCAAGTACTCAACCTGCGCCAGATTTGTCGCTGCATGCTTCCCATGGACCTGCTGTCGCTGGCCCGCACGAACAAGTCGATGCGCAACTTTGTCTTGAAACGCTCGAACGCTTTCATCTGGAGGGCAGCGTTTGCCAATAATGCGGACGTTGGTGGTCCCCCGGGCTGCCCGTCGTATATGTCTGAGCCCGCCTGGACGCGTGTGGCATTCCAGAAATCGTGCCAGGTAACCCTCTCGTGCCGGGCATCTACTTTTGTTTTTCATGTTTTCGAGGTCTGCGAAATTGAACTCGAAGACCCTGAACTCGACGATCCGGTCTGGTGGGAGTTTGGTGGCCGATACTGTCGACCCTGTCTAAAGAAAAAGTGCACCTAGCTCATCCATCACGATTGGCATCGACTGTCTACTGGCATAGGACGCGCAAGAGTGTATCTGATAAGCTACGAAAACTTCTTTCTGCTAGTGGTGTTGCCTGGGAATCAGTGTTTCCCCGCATTCAACCAATCTGGGGCACGTATATTCTTGAAATCACAGTTCGAAGCTGACAGACAAGCTCCAGAACACCCAGACCACGGTTGGTACTATGTCAAAGCTCACCAACAGGAACTTTTGGCTCGCCTCTCCGCCACAGAAAACGACGACGTCCGACGCGAAATCATCGAGTCTCGTCGAGCAGAAACACGCTCCATTATCCAGGTTTGTCGCTGCATATCCCATCGGACGAGTTTATTGAGTGTGGGTCCAGCATGGCAAACTCTGTCGTAACTGGGCATGGAAGCAAATAGCGTTGCGAGAATTTTTGAAGTTGAGAGAGGAAAGCATGGGTGAGACTCGGTTGGCTGAGAAGACAAGAATGTTGAGCTTGGGGGTGGATGTAGATATATTTCAATCTTGGAGAAATTGACGTTGCACAACAGAACTTGGGTTAAGGATCAAAGAAAAATGGCTTTGTCGAGAGCGTAAACAAGCGCGTGGAGGGGTCCAAATAAGGAATGATCCACGCATGCTTCTGTAGGTTGGCACCAGGCCCCATGAAAACAAGCTCCTGGTAGTGCTGCTCCGACTGGACATCGCCGGGGCTATAATCGATGACATTTGGGTTGATACTGCAGCGGCGCGAATCGGAGAGCTGATGACTTGTTGTTGGATTCCTCCATGTAAGGAGCTAACGGTAGGGGTATAGGTTGTGGCAAGAAAGTCATACGACCACAGACGACAAAGACGAGGACAATCAGTTGGGAGATCGGTTGCTGACGGTGAGGATCGACTGGTTACAGCGGGTGAGGACGGCTCGCAGCGTCGCGAGTAGTGGTCAAATATGGCTGTGGCCGGTGGAGACGGCTCGCGGCGTGGTACGATTGGTCATAAATTTTTCAAAATCTTCTCGGAGATCCGGTTCGTCTTTGAACAAGCGAGCGATCTTGCGGGAGACCTCGGTCTGTGTTGCACTGGGTCAGCAAGAAGATAGAGTCGGTCGGAATCACAAAAGCAAAACGCACCTCATCGGTCGGCTCTCGAGAATGATAAAAGCTGGAAAGAATGTCTAGAAACTGTTCGTATGTCTCTGGGTCGCAACGTTGCTTGACTTTCTGGACATATTGGATGGCGGGATCGAACGATCTGTTTTCTCGGGTTTCTTCGACAGGAGTAGGTGGAGTTGGCCCGGGGGGAGGCACGATGGGGCCTTGTTGCATTGGCCATTCGATACCAAGGAGTCCGTTCTTGGCGGTTGTAGTGCCCGTCGGAGTTGTAACAGTGAAATATGTCCCGTCCTGACTGTCCTTGCCACATTCTATGCGGTAGCCAGAAGGTAGGAACGTGTTAAAGCCTTGAATGAGGATGGGGTGTTCGTTGAATAGAGCCAAGACTCGTTTAATCACGCCAGGGGTGTCGATGGCCTGACTCTTGAAGCTTTTCATGATATCTGCGCCGAAGTCCATGAGCTGCAGCACTAGCTACTTAACCCATATACCTAGAAACTGGTTGTATGTGTCGGGCTATTCTTCCTTGGTGAGCCTAAGTCGCGAGGAATGCAAGCTCTGACCTGTTCATGAAATTGGGTCTTGATCTCATCCAGGTAGCTCAAGACATCGCTGACTCGGACAAAGTCAAGGGCAGGTTTCTGTGAGGACTCAGAGGCGACTGCGGTCCGGATTGTTGGTGGTGACGAGCCATTTCCCTCAACAGACAATATTGCTGCTATGTCCGCTGGGTGGTCGAGCATGAGTACTTGAGTGTGAATGAAAGAGGAGTGATTCAGGGCAAGATTCACGGTGTCACAAGCCCCTCGCATATTCGTGTCGCGCACCAGCCCCGCCAAAGTGCATATCGGGCTTCGCGAGTTCCAACACCTCAAACAGCCATTCTTCTAGGACAGCTAGATCAGGTGTCAGTTTGTTTATGTGGGAGTGGGTGAATAGACCTCCTTTACCTAAGTACCTTCGCTTTGTACATTATCAGCCATGTACAAGATGTCGGAAATAATTAGATGTAGCATGTGGCAACACAAAACAGGGAGCGTCACACAGCAGAAAACAGAACTGAGAAAAGGAAACTTGATATCGATTGCTTGTGTGGTCCTACGTGACAACGAAGTCTACGTCTGGGTGAACAGGTAGGTAGGGAGGTATGGTATGATATGACTGGCATTGGCATAGACGAAAATGGGGTGGTTGATGAGAGTGGGGGGAGATCATATGGGCTTGGGGGGGTGGAAGGAATGGCGGCAGAGACGCCGACGACTACAACAGCAGCGATTACAGGAGAGGTTGGTGGCCCACATAAATAGGAAGCCAAAGCGGTCTTAGTTCAAAGCGATCTAGTGGTGGACGGAAAAGAGGTGGACTCGTGCCATGCTCTAGTTGATGTGGCTGTATGATATACGAGCACGCAAATCCGCCGGGACAGGAAAGGAAGGGGGTAGAACGTTGCAGAAGAAAGATGGTAGTGTATGGGGGTGGTCATTGATGAACTTGATGATGTACATAGCCCTGGGTTAGTGGTGGGTTAGGGAAAGGGAGAAAAAGGAAATATTCGGCGATCGTAGGAGGAAAGCGCTAACGCGCACATCTCCTCTCGCAGAAAATTAATTCGGCCCATGAGTTCACAGGTCTTGTCTTGAGTCTAGTGGACATGAATTGTCCAGTCTAGGTTGGCGGCTGTTGGAAGCGACGCCTGGATTGGAACTGTGTGTCGTGTGCGGGTTGGGCCGGGCTGGTCACGTGGTTAGGAAATTGAAAGGCGGTGTGATCGAGACTGACCAGCGAATCGTGTTATGCCTTGGTGGTTTTCCGCGCTAGTCTGGGGCCGAGTTTGCCCTTGACGGTGGGCGCGGCGCTTGGAATACGTTTGGCGGCGGACCGAGTTCGACCCAGAGAAAAGAATTTTGCACCCCAGATGAACCTGAGGTGCCAAATGATTGCGCACGAATGCGCGGCGAGGGAGTTGGCGGAGTGCCTGGTCGGGCTCTGGTATTCCGCTTATGAATCCCTCCTTCCTCCTCAGAGGAAGTAGACCGTGGCCTGGGACGCTTGGCGTTGGTCGGGGTGGTGCCTGCCTCTGACATTGGTGACAACGTCGTCGACGATGATGATGACATCGAGACCGTGGGAACGTCGAGTGGCTGGGCCTGAGCAACGGCACCAGGCTGATACCGATACTCGTCCACTTGGAGGCGCCATGCGTGAATGGCAGTCGTGGAGTTGTAATGAGGCAACGCCGCCAGGGTAGGAGCACTGATGGGGTATATTGGGTCTCCAAACTCATTCACATCGGCAGCAGGAAGGGATGCAAAGCTCCCTTCCTTGCTTCCCTCAGTGAACGAATCATAGTCCTTCATGAGAGGCGCCCCAGGGACAACGATGGCAGCGTCGCCGTTGTCGATGAAATAAGCGACTGGGCGACTGTAGTACATGGTGGTAAGAGACAAGAGGCATAATGAGCACGGGGTCGACTTACTCGGGAGGATTCTGCATTGTCGAATCGTGAGGTAGAGTGACCGGCTGGCACTCTGGAGTTGGGAGAGACATAGTAGCTGAGGTCGGTGTTCCTGCCCTAGTAACGGTCAGGTACCTCCACGAAGAAGTAAAAGACTTACATTGGGGGAAAATCCTTAAGCGATATCTCGTCAAGTGGATCGAGCATGGTTGGCGCTGTTGTCGCTGGAGGGGGTGCCTCTGGTAGACGTCCTGGGGTACTATGCATCACAGCCAAGGACGACGTTGGCTGGAGCAGGTTCTTGGTGGGCTAAGAGTCGAAAGCTGGCGGGGAAGTGGGGTAAAACTCGCCGGCCAGCGAACGGGGGCATGCAAGTGGAAGAGCAAATGAACGAGCGCAATCAGTGACTCTTTGACTTTACATACTGCGCGGTGACCATGTCCCCGAGTTTGATACCATCACTTGATCACAGCCAAAATAGAGATCCAAGTCGCGGTTGAACGCGATCTATTGTGTGCTGCATTACAGGAAATTATTTAGTTTTTATGTGGCCCTCGAGTCTCTATACCCTCAAGCATTTTATACTTTAATCTACCGTGTCGTCGTCGTCATCGTGCAAAAAGAGGGAAGGTGGGAAGGATGAACTTCCCATGGGCTACAATTCGTCACTTTACAGCTTGAGAGCCTTGGGCTTCTCCCAGGTGTAGTCGGGGTTGCCTAGAGGAAAGAGCTGTCAACAAAGCAACTCCCGCAGCTGTAACAAATTGCCTACCAAAGTGTCCGTAAGACGCAGTCTTGAGGTATTGGGGTTTGGTGAGGTCGAGTTGCTGGACTGCGGGGACAGTTCAGCTAAAATATCGCAGGCGCAAAGACGAGTCATATTCACCGATGACACCGGGCCGCAGATCCCAGTTCTTGCGGATGATGGCAACAAGTTCCTCGTCGGTCTTCTTTCCAGTGCCGTAGGTATCGACGTAGATAGACAGCGGCTCAGCAACACCGATAGCATACGACAGTTGAACAAGAGCACGGCGAGCAAGGCCAGCCGCAACCAGAGATTTGGCTGGGTACAATCAGTTGAGTTGACGTTATCGCAAGGAGAAACTACGGACCAATCCATCGGCCAGTGTAAGCAGCAGAACGGTCGACTTTGGAAAAATCTTTGCCCGAGAAAGCACCTCCACCGTGAGCACCCCATCCTCCGTATGTGTCGACGATGATTTTGCGGCCCGTCAATCCGGCGTCACCCTGCGGTCCACCAATCACGAAACGACCAGAAGGTTGCATCTGGGGGGAAACGGGTTAGATGTGGACTTGATTGACGAAAATGGAAATGTTGGCAAAACATACGTGGTAGATGGTGTGCTCGTCGAGGAGGTTGGCAGGGATGACCTTCTTGACAACTTTCTCCAGCAGCTCCTTGCGAAGATCCTCAGTTGAAATCTCCTCAGCGTGTTGTGTCGAAATGACCACAGTGTCAACGCGAAGAGGAATCATTGCGCCGCCGTCCTTCTTGTACTCGACAGTGACTTGGGTTTTGGAGTCTGGGCGTAGCCATGGGAGAGCACCCGTGCGACGAGCAACGGCCATGGCAGCGTTGAGTTTATGGGCCAGCATAATCGTCAGAGGCATAAACTCCTCGGTCTCGTCGGTCGCGTAGCCAAACATAATTCCCTGGTCACCCGCACCGTGGTCTTCCAGCGAGCCGTGGTCGAGGCCCTGAGCGATATCAGGCGACTGTTGCTCGATGGCAACGAGAATGTTGCAGGTTTTGTAGTCGAAGCCCTTGCTCGAGTCGTCGTAGCCAATCTGCTTAATCGTGTTGCGGATGACCTTCTGGAAGTCGACCTGTGCCTTGGTCGTAATTTCGCCGAAAACCATGATCATGCCCGTCTTGGACGCCGTCTCACAGGCAACCTTCGACGATGGGTCCTCTGCCAAGCAGGCATCGAGCTATCCAAAAGCATGAACACAAGAACAGATACGACCGTGTTCTGGACTTACAATGGCGTCGGAGACCTGGTCGCAAATCTTGTCTGAAAAACACGAGGATGAGCAACGTTTGCTGGCTGGGAAAGCGAAAACAACAAACCAGGATGGCCTTCACCGACAGACTCGGAAGTGAAGAGGAAGTGGCCAGCAGGAAGTGCGGGGCGAGTAGAACCGTTGGCAGGCATGGCGAGAATGAAAGAGGAAGATGGAGGGAAGGTGCAAGAGCAAGATCAGGTTGACAACTGCAAATTTTTCCTCTGATCACGCCATACTCAAGCACGCCCAGTCGGCCGATACGCCAAAGAATACAGTTCGTCTAAGTAGTTACATTACTTCCACGTTGACTATACGCTACGAGAACCCTACGCCAAGTGGATCGATGTTTGCACTCGACTGTACTGGTTGGGGCGGTTTTGGCGGATCAACTTTACGAGTTGTTGTGGTAACACTCTCCAAAATCATCCCACCCAAACCAGTTTCCACTGCTGGCGAGTCAACTCGACTCGTTTTCGCTGTGTTGCTGCTTCCCCAAGGATTGCTGTCCGAGCGAGACGAGGAGGCTTCACTGTTGCTTCCCGGTTTTAGCGGATCAACATTATTATTGTCGCGTCGAGTTGTTGGAGCGGCAACACTCTCCAAAGTCATCCCACCAAGGCCAGTTTCTACCACAGTGATTGGTGCTGGCGGGTCGACTGCAGTCGGCGTATTCATTTCTGAACTGCTGCTTCCCCAGGGATTATTGTCCCAAATACTTGACCGGGATGTCGACGCGCTCAAAAGAGAGGCTTCACTGTTGCTTCCCCATGGATTGTGACTGGAAGAAAAGGCTGACGACGACATGGGATCTTCTTCTTCCCCCCACGCCTTCAGTGTTTCTCGACTACTCAGCTCCGCAGTTTTCGACGTCTCGTTTTTCGATTCCCAAGATGTATTCAAATCCTTCGACGCGTTCACATACGCATCTTGAACCGCGGAAAATGCAGCTGACGCGTTGGACGACAGTCTCCCCCACACTGACTTGCCCGTGTTTGCAAAAAAGTTGGGCTGCAAACCACCGCCACCACTTCCACTCTTGGGGGTTGAGTGCGAGCTAGACATGGCAGGTAACGATGCAATTGGATTGGGCACATTGAAACCTTGAAGAGAGAATGCCGATACGGAAGATATCGGTCTAAAGCTGTCTGGTCGGGAAGGACTTGGTCGTGTGGGGGTAACTGGTCGGGAAGTTGCTTGCGAACTCAGTGGAGCAGGCGACATCGACGGCGAGGGCGGGAGTGGTATACGAGCTCCTTGAATTGGGGTTTCGTCATCAGGAGAAGTAACGGTTTCGGGCTCTAAAATCTGGGGTTGTACCCGTCCGTTCATTTCCTCGTCGCTGCGTCCATACAGCTCATTCCAAAATCTGACATCTTTAGCATTGGGTATCAGGACCCCCATATCAGCTTTTGGAAGGCGGCTCGCAGGATCGTCAAGTGTCGGGTTGTATGTCGGGTTGGTATTGAGTTCTTTCTCTGCCGGCGAGTTCAAAAAATCCCAGACACTCTTTGTCCGTTCGGAAGGAGGTAGTCCATCCTCGCCTACTCGACGCTCTCGTTCGCAGTTGTAAAGGAAAGTACCAAATTGGCAAGAGTAGAGATGATAATATAGTTGCTGCAAGAAGCGCTCGTTGAACTCGAAACGCTCGGGGAACTGGCGCTGAATTTGTCGAACAGTTTCGAGGAACTGGTGGAACGTGGGACTGGTTTCCTTCAAATGGCTATTGGAAGTGAATCGGTTCTGCATTGAAGCCAAGAACGCTTGCGCAGCCTCCGCGCCAGTATTCGCGCCGCCCAGCTCCGCAGGAGAGACGAAAAATTTGTCTGAAGACAAATGACCGCAGCGGTCCATAAATTTGTGGCCAAACGAGACCCAGTCCTTGTCGATGAGAATCTCGAAACCTCGTATTGTTCGATAAAACGGGTCCAGACACATCTGAGCGAGAGCAGATAGTTGTGAGGTGCGGTCCCAACCATCCGAGCAATGGATAAGGACATGGGAAGAGTTGATATGGATGTTACGGGTTATGAGCACGGTCCCTTCCAAAATTAATTGAATATGACGAAGCCAACCAGACCGGCGTAGCGCTTGTCTGTCAAGAACAGAGATTCCAGTGACTTGGTCGGGAAGATCGTTGTTGATGCTCGCAAGCAACACATCCGCTTCACGAAGAGCCTCGACAACTTTAGCCAGCGACTCACGCATGACGTGGATGCTGTCAATCCCGAGGTAGACCTTTTTGCTGTCCTTATAATGGTCCATGTTTTCGGTTCCAGCGCCTTTGGCTGTGTTGCCGACCGCGTTAATGGTTGGTCTCGCGTCGATGATGAGATTCGTAGTGGTTGCTCCGTAAACGGGCCCAGCGGAAGCACGAGACTCGGGAGAGTGATGTGTTTGGAACACTGACTCGATTAGTTTCTCGTCTTGGATGGACCTGTTCTGGGTGATTCCGACCATAGGCTGGCTGGAACGTGTAATCGATCCCTGTGAAAAGTTAGAGTACACGTAGAGCAACGAAAATGACCATACATAGTTAGCCCAGTGCAGGTATGTCAACGCGGGTACCCGGGCCTTGCTGCGGTATTTGGATGCGTACTGGAGGGTAGTGTCGCTTATCCGAGTTGGAACAACCAGCTTCGCAGGGTATGTGGGACTGAACTAGAGGTACTAAGGGTCATCGATAGGCGGACGGACAGATGAGCGCCTGGCCACGCACGGAATAGTCTTTATTGATGTCAGTGAACCGCCAGGCCTTGGTGCGGGTTCCAACACCCATTCGACCAAACTCGTCTCGGGGTGAATATAATCCCCAACCCTCTTCGGCAGGTAGAGGAGGGTTTGGAGAGTAAGAAAAGGCGTACAAAGCCTCAACAGACGCTGTGTGCGATTAAAGTGGGAGTCCTGTTCGAGAACGAGCACATACTGGCGACTGTTAACTCTTTGACATTGTCAAAGACAGCGACGGCATCGGCCTCCTTACTGAATCCAAAGGAGAAAGTCTCGAATGTGCGGGTATGGAAGCTGAGCGGGGTCTGCCCTTGGTGTGTTTGAGGAAGTCGAGTTACAAGCGAGATGAGGGGGGTAAGGGACCTGCAAGACGTTATCAAAGCAGGCCAGATCAACCAGCACACGAAACTTGCCCACAACTCTTTCTCCTTGTCTTCATCGTAGTTAAAGATGAGGTGGTGGCGGGTGAGATGGATGGTGCCGACGAGAGTTGAGCCATTCCTTGTGCAGAGCACTTGGCTGACCTGCAAAGGCTGGGACATCAGAGAAAAGGACAAATGGCTAGGAGATTTGCGCACCCGCGGTATCCGAATTTCGTCCATAGAGGGGTCGTCAGCGATTGCTTTTTGGCGCTTGCAATGAGTTGACTTCGAATTGACCACTTGCCGAGTAACGGCCTGCGTCACGCACACCTTTTTGTTTTTCTCTCTCTCGTCGACCAAGGATCCAACGTCGTGTGAGGTCAACAGATTCTTATGGATGAACAACGCTCAAAAGCATGGCCGCTCGCTGAAGCCGAGCTCACTAACTCTGTACGCCGGACATCTCACTCAAGTTTTTAATTGTTTGTTCAACTTTCATAGATTCTGGAGTTGGTCCAACAAGCCTCTCAGTACAAGCAGCTCAAAAAGGGTGCTAACGAGGGTAAACTACTCGACATATAATCCCAGAATCACGTTGACTCTAATCCAGCAACAAAAACGCTCAATCGCGGTATCGCAGAGTTCATTGTGCTAACTGCCGATACTGAACCTCTCGAAATTTTGCTGCATCTTCCCTTGTTGTGTGAGGAGAAGGTGTGTGTCTATGTTCCCCTTCATCTCTTAGCCTCACGTATCATTCAAGAACGTCCCATACGTCTTTGTCCCCTCAAAGGCCGCCCTGGGCCGCGCGTGTGGGGTTACGCGACCTGTCATTTCGGCCAGCGTGACGACAAGCGAGTCGAAGGAGCTCTCCAGCCAGATAATCACGATAAAAAACGCTATTGAGAAACTGCTGGTTTAGTCGTTGACGCCCACAATACGATCAGTTGCTTTCGTAACCTCATCAGTATAATGCTTCATCTGTGTGGTAGGTAAGTAGGAGAACACAGATTTGGGGGGATTACTATTTTTCTTTGACCCATAACCCAAGTTATGTTGTGCAACGTTGATTTTTGGAAGGCTGAAATATATCTACACCCGGCCAAGCTCAACATTCTTGTCTTCTCAGCCAACCGACATGCCTTCCTCTCTCAACTCCAAACATTCTGCCCAGTGACGACAGTGTTGGCTATGCTGGACACTCAACAAACTCGTTCGATGGATAGTATGCGAGGGGCTTGTCACACACTGAATCACTCCTCTTCCTACCACTACTTGAAAGACTGCGAGTCGTCTCCACCGGCTGCAGCCATTTTTGACAGCTACTCGCCACGCTGCGAGCCGTCCTCACGAGCTGTAACCACTCGATCCTCACCGTCAGCAACCGATCTTCCAACTAAGTGATGACCTTGTCTTCGGCTTCGTCGTCTGTGGTCAGACGGACGAAGGATATGACTTTCTTGCCACAACCTCTACCTCTGCCGTCGAGACGCCAAAAAACGTCCAGCACGACAACTAAGGCGTCAAGGAGTGCCAGCAAGCTCAAGAGGTCTGTGAAGTTGTTCTTGTCTGTTCAAGCGTTAACCTTGCTTAAGGAGCACAACGAACAGTGCAGCAAAGAGTGCAACGGAAAAGAAAGCGCACCATCACAGGTATGGGAATTTCCTACGACTGCTGAAGCGTTGACCTTCTTTAAGCAGTGCAATGGGGAGTGTCAGTGCCAAAGAGGCTTCACAGACTGGACCAGCGCTGCGCCATGACAAGTATGGGGAACTTGCTTGCGAGTGTCCAAGTGTTCACCTTTTTCTAGAAGTATAACGGCCTCAACGAGTAAGCAAAGCGGGAAGAGGGATCGCTCGAACAGCACCGACTCCATGCCACCTTCCGCGGTTTCCGCAAGCAACAGAGCTACAACGCAACCTTTCAAGACGGTCAGCGGTAGGTGTGTTAGTTTGCTCCTGCTTATGCAGCCATTGACTTGATTCATAAGTACAACTGGGAGTAGCGCAGCAATCCACCCCGATAGTCCTTTTGACCCTACGAACACTGCTCTTTCCACTCTGGAATCTCGTCCAAACAAACGTCAAAAATTGACCCAAGAATCTGTTCCGGGCCGCACATCGCCGGATGCATCGCAAGTCACTGCGGAGCTACAAGCGGGAGATTCCATCTCGCAAATTGCCGGGAAATTCGACGCGACATCCGCTCCGACAGAAACAGAATCACCATTCGATGACAAGACATCTCAAAATGGAGGAGATGCCGATTCGTTGGCTGAATCCGATGGAGAAGTCCCGGGGGCGTTGACCTTCCAAAATCTGGACGCATGTCGCAAAATACTTGCGAAGCCAGGGCTCTGCAATCTTTGCATGTTCGATGCTCATCATCAAGATGCCCATCCAGCTGGGAAAATGGCTCATTGTGTTCCTGCTGCTGGGTTGACGGCCAAGAACATAAGAGAGAGCGCTGTGGATGAACGGCTGATCGGTTGTGAGGCTGACCTAGAGATTCAAAATGCTTCCACAAATTGCGTCTGGGGTACGTTTTAGTCAGTACCAATCCACCGTTGCTCAACTTGGACAGTCTGTGAAACCTGTGTTGGCATCCTCAACCACGCCGATATAACGGTGATTCCCGCGGAGCCCGTTCTTTTTGCCTTGGAGAGGGAGTGGGACCCTGCGAAAGAGACAGCGAAGGTCTTTTTGGAGAATTTTTTCGTCCGAAATTCAGGCCTCGTACACTGTTTTCAACTCATTCATACTGGCAAGAGACCCGTCGCCCTTACTGCTCGCTACGGAGCGCTTATGGAGGTGATCTACACGGTTGATTCTTTCCCCAGACGTCAATGGAGCGTGCACTGTCCTTACATGGAGGAATTCAAAGACAAGTCGTCAGCTTTCCGATTCGTGCAGCCACAATATCGACCCAAACAGGCTGCCACCATCATGGAGGCCAACGAGACAATGGTCATCGATTATAACCCCAGCGATGTCCAGTCGGAACAGCACTATCAGGAGCTCGTTTTCATGGGGCCCGGTGCCAACCTACAGAAGCATGCCTGGATCATTCCTTATTTGGACCCCCTCCACGCGCTTGTTTACGCTCTCGATAAGACTAAGTTCAACCGCAGGATTGGCGATTTCTCATATGAGATGCTGTACTTGCTCCAGTCCATCCGCGAGAAGATAGCTTACGCAACGGGGTTTGGAAAGGCAAAGGTTTACTTTCAGAGTCAGCATGTCTCCAGGATGGCTGCCGAACCCCATGTGAAGCATCTTGATACGATGGATGACCCAGAAGAGCCTGAGACCGTTGCACCATCTGGTTAGTGTGCCTCTCTGCTTGTCCATGTACTTTTACTCATTATCCAGACGATTCGTCGTCTATGCAGTCCGAACGTCAGCAAAGGATTGAACTGTGGCGGTCAAAGCTAGTCTCATTATGAATGACCGTGATGGGTGGGCCGTTTTTGGGACATTTTGGAACTCCTTTCATCGGCGCTCTCGATATTGTCCGCCTCGAGCCAGCCGCGCTCGTACTCCACTCGTTGTCGTCGTCGTGTATGATGCTCAAGACTGGTCACTTCTTTTAGAAGGTATATGTTTCCGTCCACCATTAGATCGCTTTGAACTATGACCGCTTTGGCTTCCTATTCATGTGGGCCACCACCCTCTCCTGTAATCGCTACTGTTGTACTCTTCGGCGTCTTCGCCGCCATTTCACCCACACCCAAGCCCATATGATCTCCCCCCAATCCCATCAACCACCCCCCGTTTTATCTCTGCTAGCTGGCAGACCTCTCTACCTACCTGTTCGTCCACACGTAGACTTTGTTGTCATGTAGAACCACACAAGCAATCCGATTTCCTTTCTGTCACTTGTGTCATACCATCACGTGTATGTGACGCTCCCTGTTCTGTGCTTCCACATGCTGAAGGGTATGAACGGTACATCCAACTATTTCCGACATTTTATGCGTGGCTGATAATTGTGCGCAGCGGAGGAGAGAGAGCGGGCGATAGGTACGTTCGCCCTCTCCCACATAAACAAACTGACGCGTTTATCTAGCTGCCTTTTGGGAGAGGGAGGAGCAACGGCAGCAGCGGCTGTTTGACGCGTTGGAACTCGCGAAACCCGAAATGAACCTCACGGACGAGGTTTTGGCGGGGCTGGTGCGCGACACGAAAATGTGCGGTATCTTTGGGGGGTGCTTTGTGGTATTACTGACCGCGCGGCAGGGGGACCGACTGGATCAGAAATTGGTGGTCGTCTCACCAGAGAGCAGTGAAGCGTCGGGAACAACGACGACGGGAGGAAGACGACGGGGTTACGACGAGAGCAAAGAGCAAGGCGAAGAAGCGGGCGAAGGCTGATGATGATCCTGACTGCAACGAGCCGCCCACGAAACGCGTCCGCCACGCAAGATCTGTTTCTATCCCGACTTTGCTTTCGACCAAACCTCAACACGCTAACGACCCACTTTCGATGCAAGCTCAGAACCAGCTGCAAATCCCTAACTACCAGCATACCAGTCAAAACCCATACCCGTCACTAAACGTACCGCAGCTTAGTCTCTACCACCAACAAATGCTTCAAAGCCAATATCAGCAACTCAGCAGCCTTCAACCACTGAACCAATTCCCTGACCACAACTACTACAATGCTCTTTTTCGTCAGCGAATGCTCGTTCCCAATCCTCTCCCGCTTTTCCATCAAATCCCCAACTACTCTCAGCCCCAGCCATTCAATGCCAACACATTCTCGACTGGAAGAACAAATTCCGATGTTTTGCATCAGCAGTTCCGGCCCATCTACGGTGTAGGCATCTAGTCAACCACCTTGCTTCCTATGATCTTCAACTCTACACAGCAACAACAAACGACGAACCAGCTCGCGCAAGACGCGGTTTTAAAGTCAAGTCCAAGCATGTGCGGAACTTGAATCATTTTCTTCTGTTTGTGTGACCCAGCTCAGGTAAACGAGGACGGGTCGGACGTGACGCGGTGGCTGCGGGAGGTGCTTGCGCTGGAAGAACTGGAGGGGGAGAGGCCGTTGGAGCGGATGATGCGTGAGCTGGATGGTTGAACTCGGACGCGTGTGTGTGTGCTGTTATTCTTCCGGGCCTCTACAAAATCTTTGTCATAACAGTTGACAACTCGCCCCTCCCTTGCAAATAGGGCTTGCCAACCCTAAGCGCTATATATCTCTCCCGTCGCCGGGTAGCTTCCAATTGGAATGGCTGGTTGATCGACAGGCTGGCATTTCTTTTTCAGACCACGCACCTCCCGCTCCTCTGGAGTGAGTCCATGCCAAAGCTTTGCAATGCGTTGTGCCCGCTCTGCAGCATTTAAGTTGCGGGTCTTCGCTGCCACTTGAGCACGGTTAGTGATCCTAAGATGACAGGAAAGGTTTCAAGTTATGAACACATACCCTGTCGTGCTTCTTCAAGTCCGGGAGAATCTGGTGCCTGCACGCTGCGCTTTTGAGACCTTTCTTGGCGATAAACATGCCGCATGAACAGATTATAGGACGAAGGGGCTCGCAATCTAAGACGGCCGCCGCCTTGCCAGGGAATGTAGGACAATTCCGTGGTCAGACTGGTATTCGAATCCTCTACGCGCAGGAATTGAGAAGTTTTTTTGTCTGGCTTGTTGTGGATGATTCTGCCGCAACTGCTGAGTCACCACTAGGGGCAGGCGGCTCGGCGGAGGCTTTGTGCTCAGGCTGGAATTCGCCAGATTCTGAGTCGGGCCATTCGACATCGCTGCTGAGAACGGGACGTCCCCACACTTCATCCATGTACGATGAAACGTGTTGTATACCCACTGGTAGGGACCGAAATAATTGTACCCGAGCCCTACCAAAGCTGGTATGAGTACATAATTCAGACAGTGAGCAGCCGAGAGAGCCTCAACTGGAGTTGGTCCAATTGAACTCGGAGTCCGTTTCAACTCATTTAAGCCACTCTCTGCTCATAACACAATGTATCTCATGAAGGGATAATTCATTAAGTTGTATCAGACTGGTTAAAAATGTCCTCAATTAATTACAGCTTGGATTTCTTAGATCATCATATACATCAGTGATGCCAAAGTACAAACCATTTAGACCTATCCTATAGCATCTTGCTCTTGTTGGTTTTCATGCTGTTTCTCTGTTATTTGGTGACTTGCCTATTGTGCTTTGCTTCAGGATTTTGAACGGTAGCCTTTTTTTTTATATTACAAGTAACTTGAATTCATCTCAGTTTCTTCAAGTAATGATAGGCCTGAGGGCATCTTTATTTGCTACTGAAGGGAAAGAACAAAACTCACTACAGGAACAAGAATGAGCTGTCCTGCAGTGACCAGAACTTACACTGAAGGGGCAAAACATAATGTACTGTAGGTTCAATGCACTTGCACCTGAGGGAACAGAAATTGTGCCTCCAGGCATGAAATTGAATGCCTGAGGGAGCATAAAATATTGCCCTCGGGCACGATCTTTCGTCCCTGAGGGCGCATTGGATTTTTCCCGAAGGCAACTTTTTTGTCACTGGGCCGTTTTGGGGCCGGCCCATCAATGGGCCGTGACTCGTACAGCACCAGTGCCTATCTGGCTTTGCTCCATGACGAGGAAAGGTACATATACCTTAGATCGTAGTGCGATTCTGTGGCTAACCGCACATACTTATAGCAACAAGAAAAATCAATGGAAATCCAAAGCCCGGTCCGTCTGCCAGTCTACAAACGTATAACACGAACGACTTTTGTTGGCAGCCGTCATCTCGACTGAAGCGCAGAAACGGACGCTACTTGCAGCGCTGGAGGCCGCGAAGCCCGATATGACGCTCTCGAACGAGATTGCAGCGGGGCTGGTGCGTGACACGAATTTGTATGTTGTTTGTTTCTGCGTCCAGTTTTGGTGCTGTTGACGACACGATGCAGGACTGACAAATGGATTCGGAACTGGTGGCAGCGGACGAAGTATGAGTTGAAGAGCGGCAGGAAGAGAGTGATGGCCAAGAAGCGCAAGGCTGAGGACTCGGAAAACGACGATACTGACACCGACGAGCCCCAGCCGAAACCTAAACGCAAATCCGCCCGCCGCAAAAGTCCCCAGCCTAGCTCTATGCCCTCTAGTCCAACGTTGCTTTCGACCAACATCACTGACAAACACACGAAGCCAACGCCGCAGTTGCAACGCACCGACAATCCTGGGCAACAACTGGAGTTTCAATTCCAGGAACCCGCAATGCTCCCACCGCAATACCAAGTTCATAACCAGCTGCCACTTCCGTACCAACAACTCAACCAGAATATGTTCCATCAACTCAACGCATTGCCATACCCTCAGCTCAACCAAGTCCAATATCTGCCATGCAACGCCTTCAACTGCTGCAACAATGCTCTTCTTCACCAACGAATGCTTGCTCCGCAACCAGCTCCCAATTTCCTTCCGCAGAACTACAATCGCTCTCAGTCCCAGCCGTTCAACGTGTTCAATAATACCTTCCCAAATGATGTTTTTCAACAGCAGCAGCAGTTGCCATTCCAGCCCGGTTACAATGTGAGGACTTGGCCAATGGTATCTCTCTTTCTAATGTCCCTTCCGACAGTTCCCCATGATGCACATTTCTAATGCAGAGCGAGCACAGCAAGCAGCCACGCTTTCGCAGCTGAATATGCTTGTGAGGCGTTCCATTATGTTCCGCTGACCTTTTTTGATCGCATATATAGGTGGCTAAGCAGGAGGAAGACGACGACGCGGCGGTGACCCGTTGGCTACTAGCACTAGAGGCGGCAGAGAAGCAAAGTTGATCCAAAGCAATGCTGCAAGCTTCAAACATTATGCTATTTCGCGTGTGTGCTGTTATCTGGGAAACTAGAACCATGCTTTCTTATCAAAACCTCGCTCACTACCCCTCGCACGATTACCTGAATCTCGAGGGCTAGTCCCATTACAATGTGAACTTTCTGAACCTTCTTCTCAAATTTCGATGATGTGCATCCCCAATGCAGACGCAGAGCAACAAGCCGCGACTTGGTGCCCGCTGTCGGGTCAAAGCCGGTATCGAAGCAGTCGTGAATAATACATACGCTGATCCGTAAGCTCTATTAGTATGGTACGTGGCACAGCGTTGATTTTCTGGAGGCCTTTCCGACTCTTCAATGTGCATAGTTTACTAATACCTCACCATAGCGCTGGCGGCGAGCAGTCAGCCTCTTTGCGACCCGGACGACGACGATTGGCTCTTCAAATACATCCGAGTCTAATGTACTTGCAAGGCTTGAATTCAATTCCCATTCAATACCAGACTCTCCGCTGCAAGTCGGCAATTTCGGTCCATCCCGTGACCGCGACTGCTGCGGACCACGCGCCGTCGTTTTCTGTTCGAACACTCAGATGGCTGTGCGGCACCGCCCCGCCGCGGCCAGGCGAAGCCGGCGCACAGCCCTTTGACAGGCGCGTGCGCGTTCCGAAGAGCCGGATGCCGCGCCCGCACTCGCTCGCTGTTTGAGGCAATCGTCCCGAGCAGTGGCGGGCGTCTAATATACGGACGCGTCGGGTAACGCGTGACCGATCGCGAGGAGTGCGACGACGACGGAGCGGGGGGCGGAGGAGGAGGGAAAGGATTTGCCAAAGAAGAGAAGCGCGTTAGGGATCATGCGATTGGCGAGATGTGCGGGCTGGGATTTCCTACTTGAACCCACCCTTGAGCTTGGGTTTTCTCTAGCGATGGCCCCCCGTCGATTCCTGTTCTGCCTCCCCCTCCAACACGGCGTCACGCTGCTCTCCGCGCTGCTTATGCTGCTGTCCGGCGCGGGCACAGTGGGCAGCTGGGTCGAGGTCGGCTGGCTCCGGGCGCACCCGCTCCCCGGGCGGCCCCGCATCGCGCTCTTCTTCCAGGCCGCGACGTTCACCGTCGTCTTCCTGCTCTCCGTCCCCGGGTGAGTAGCACCAGTAATCTTATCTCCGGTAAACTAACTACGTCCCAGTCTGATCGCCGGGGCCACCCGCCGCCGGTCGCTCGCCGGGCTCCACTCCCGGCTGCTCTTCCTCGCGCTGCCCCTGCCCTTACTCGCCCTCGCCGGGACGCTCCTCAGCACGCTCCGGCCCGGGGCCGGCTACCCCGCAATCTACACGTGTCTGGGGCAGACAAACAGTCGACTCATCGGGCAGTTCTGCACCGCCCACACCCGTGGCTACGGCCTCCACGGCGTACTGGCGATACTACCCGTGGCGCTGCTGGCCGCGGTGGTGCTGTTACAGGCTTATGCGTGGGTCACGGCGGGGAGCTATGCCGCGGAGCTCGATGTGGAGGATTTGCTGGTGCGGTTCAGCAGCTATGGCTATGACGTCGACAAGGAGAAGGACTCGGACCGTGACGCCGAGGCACAGCTCCCACAGCTCACCCGGACATAAAAAAAGGCACAACAAAAACGGACACTGTAGCATTATGGATAGAACACAGGCCTGTATAACTAGAAATGAAGAAGCAGATCGCATGCAAGTCAATACTGGCTGCTGGCTCTTCACCCCAGCCTTCCCAACGCCGCCGCCAACGCCCCCGCCTCCACCGGCCTGCCCAATGCTTTCTCTTGTTCCTCCGGGATAAACGGCCGCAGACACTCCCGCACATACTCCTCCGGCACGCCGGCCCGCACCGCGTCGCGGATCCCGCTGTTGATCCGGTGTACGTACTCGGGCTTCGGCGGGCCCTCGCGCGTGCGCTGCACATCGACATACACGAGCGCGTCGAGGGTGGTGCTGTGTGACCCGTCGGGGCCGACGAGCGTGACGGGGTGCGTCTGCTTTACGTACGACCGCGGGACGCCCTCGTGGCGGTCCAGCGCGGCCTCGTCCGCGGCGGTGAGCGTGTACAGCAGCGCGTACACGACGGAGTTGGGGGAGGGCACGATGGTAGCGTAGCCCCGGGTGTTGATTATCCACCGCCTGTAGAGTATTAGTATTAGATAATAAAATGGGCTGCTTACCAGTCCCGAAGAAAGGCGACTCCGAGGAGGGTGTTGCCCGGGCAGCGCGTGTCCATCTGGTGGATCCAGAGGTTGCTGCCGTAGCCGAAGTAGCGTGTGGGCGGTGGGGCGGGAGGGTGGGCCATGGGAGTCAGGAGCAGGCGTTTAATCGCGCTATATCTGGCTTGATGCCGAGCGTGGGTGTTGAGCACTTCAACTAGGACATTCATCAGTCATCTCCCATCGCATTGCAAAACAAACACGCACAATATTATAACCACCTCAATTAAAGCCAAGAATAGCGCGATTCAATGCTGCTAAATTGCAAAGCGCGGGAGCAGGCGTGGGCTCGTGTAGAAATCTCCAGCTGGGGCTGCAGCTCGTTGTCGTCGTCATTCCGTTGTTGTGGTGTCGGATAAGCTGTAGCCATCAGTCTCCGGGACACAAACGCACTCCCAGATGACTTGAACTCCACTTTAGTATTTGGCGTAGGTCGAAGCAGATGGCGGGGTGCCGGGAGTAAGAGCAGGCGTGGGCAGCAACTCTGTCTCGAGCAGTCCTAGTTCGAGTTGTGGCAGCGGGTCGTCGTGTTGTGGAGCGCCGGGCATTACGACCACCACTCCCACACGCACCCGTGTCGGGGTCGTCCCGTCCTTACCGTCCGCCGCCGTGTAACGCGTCACACTCGTCGCCAACGGCTACCACCCCCATCAGCCATCGCCTCAGACCAAACCACAACCCACTCACCATAACCCGCTCCCACCCACCCGCTCCCTCTCCCGCTGATGACAAATACGCGTCAACCAGCACCGGCCTGGGCCCCTGGTCCTCGTCGTCGTCCTGTCCGCGCACGCCCACGCGGATCCCGCCGGCCCGCATCACCGCGCGCTCCCTAGCCTCCTGCGCGTTCGCGCGTGACCGGAAGTAGAACGCGAGCGTCACGGCCCCGACGAGGAACAGCCCAGCCGGGATCGCGTATTCTGGCATCCCGGTTAGTCAGCACGAGAAGGGAGAGAAAGACACACGGTAGAGCGCAGAGGAGGGCGAGATGTTGTTGCTTGAGGGAGGGTGGGCGGTGTGGACGGCGTCAGGTGTTACCCTCCCGCATCCACCTCAACGCTTTACTCACCCATCGCAAAGGCTCGCAGCTCGCTAAGGCTCGCCCCGTCAACTTTCTTATATACCCTTGTATTACGGCAAAGCAGTGAAAAAAAAATTATTCAAGGTACGCGAATGTACAGTTTACACTACCCGACCCGTAGATCCATCGCAAGATACGCGTATTTCACGCGTTAGACGCGTAAACAACGCGTCTATCCCCGTGTAGCTCCCCGATCTCGATCCCTCTCCCTGCCAAGTCGGGTCTGGCAACGCCAAAGTCACCGCGGTCACGGTTTCACGCACCCGTTCTTTGGCATTGCAGACCCCACTTCCCCGGTTGGGCCCAGTCACCGTTCCAGCCAACTCCATCAAGTCCTGCCAGACCACAATATGGAGACGGAGCGCCCGCAGAATGAGTGTCGCGGGGCAAGATTTTGAAGGGGAGTGGTTTGTCGTGGGGGGGAACCCGCGCCGGGGCTGTTGGCGGACAGTGGTGGCAAGTTGTAGGCCAAAGATGGCCAACTACTCCCGCCATAGTTACGGTTTCGCTCGACGTAGTGCCCGACTCGATTCTTTTCCCGCATTGCAGCCTTCGATTTGAACAGCGCCGTTGTTGTTGCAGTCCCGCCAAACCACGACTGGGTTGGTGATGGAGACTGTGTCGTGGGGTAAGATTTTGGAGGGGAGTTGTCGAACGCGAGAGAGCGGAGGTTAGCGCAGAGGGTGTTGTCGATACCCTTGTTGCCGTCACTGTAGCTTGCTCGCCGACAACCGTTGCTCTCGCTCCCTGGTGTTGGATCCGAGCAGACAGCGCGGTTAAGGAAGTCGCAGGCTAAACGAGGGACCGCACCCCGTGTCCGTTGCTCTCGCTCTCGCTCGCAATGTTGCGGGACACAGGCCACTTGATGGCTGCCCGCGACAGCCAAGATGGACGCGTTAATGATGCCGAAGTCGGGCGGATAGCGTTGCATGGCGCTTGTGAAGATGAAGGGGAGTGGGCAACATGCAGGCATGGTTGGAGGCAAGTGTCGGCCAAGCAGCAGGGAACGCTGTTGGTCGTTGGTGATGGTGTTTGGGGGAACGAGTTGGCCGTGATCGCCAGCGCAAATGCCGGGGTCGTTTTGTAAGGTTCCCGATACAGCGCTGTCGCGCAAGGTGGTGAGGCCGACCCGCCTTAACGCGTTGACGAGGTCGAGGCCGACTGATAGCGCCGCGTTGCGCTGGTCGAAATGACAAGGCAGTCATAGTACTGTAGAGCTCTTCCCAGCCACGTGCCGCGCCAGACACGCGTTTGGTCAAGGTTGGGCCTGGTTGGCGCACAGTCAACGGGCGCGTTTGTCGTTGCTAATGGCGTTGTAGACGGCGGTCAATGGCCAGTTCGGCGCGTGGACACCCGTTCTGGCAGCAGACAGAGGGCTGTGGAGGCGGCGGGGTCGAGGGACTTGGCGTTGGTGTGGTTGGCACATTGCGCATGGTGGTAAGAAGGAAGTCGTGGGTGGCCGGTTCGGGCACGTGCCGCCGGCGGATGGCCCGGCTCGCGTTGTAAGCCGGGGCGAGGTCAACTGGGATGCAGGCGCGTGCCGCAGATCCCCTTGGGAAGACGGCGAGTGGTGGTGAGAAGAAGCTCGGCTCGGCTCGGACCAGAGTGGATCGCTTCGTTGAGGGAAATCGGGATGTGTGATTAATGGGCTGGGTGTAGAAGTCAACGGACTGCAATAGTTTAAGCAATGGAAAAAAAAGACTTGGTGAAAACGCACAGTGGGGGGATCGGCAGCGCACTGCTGCCAATGTTTGCGTTGAAAGTCCTCCCGTTCGTTCGCCTCCGGCGGCAAAATCCTGGAAAAAATGGTGTTTTGAATCACGTTTTTTGAGGTCCAAATGACGTCCCGAAATTATCGGATAATCGATTGATCGCATCAATAATCGGTGATGGGAGCGATTTTCGAGCGGCAACGAGCGGCGCGACGTGTTAGGAACACTGAGATCAAGGTCAGTAATTGCACAATAGAGGAGAGGGACAAGAGCTCACCATAGTGAAAGATCACATGAGGATACCAGCGTTGATGCGCCTCTGGCGCCAGATGCGGGGACAGCGGAGCGGGGTTGGTGAAGGCAACGGACACAAGAGGAACGCCAGGGAGCAGAGCCCTGGCTCTGGGGCGTTGAAGTCCAGAGGGACGCTGGGCCTCCGGCCGTCAAAATCCTGGCGCAAAAGTGAGTTTTGATGAGGCAAAAAGTGGGCTGAAATATGCTTACGTAATCATCAATTGATCCATCATTGTCAGTGGAATTGGTAAAGGCGATGAGGAGTGCAATACGGACACTGATATCAACATTGGTAATCTCGCAACGAACAGGAAGGACAAGAACTTACCAGAATCACGGTGCGCATGACGATCTTGGTGTTGATGCTCTGATTGATGCGCCGTATGCAGCGGTGGTCGGCATTGAGCAGGGTTGGCGAAGGCAACAGACGCAAGAGGGAAGCCAGGGAGCAGAGCCCTGGCTCCGAGGCATTGAAGCCTAGAGGGACGCTGGGCCTTCGGCCGTCAAAATCCTGGTACAAACGTAAGTTTTTTAAGGCAAAAAAGTGGGTCGATATACGCTTACGTAATCACCAATTGAGCCATGATTTTACGCCGATTTTCAGCGAGACTATCACGTTCTGCGAAACAAGTTAGTACATCAGCGAGATTCAGCAGAGACAACACTCACTAATGTTGTGCCTGGGGCGTAAACCCAAGCCGGTGCCATGTGGACACAAGAAATGGAGGATGGTCTGCCGACGCCAGGGACTAAGGCCGTGCGCGTGAAGGACTTGGCGGGAGGTTAGAGGGAGTCCAATGTGTCGGGCTAAGAAAGACGTGTCAAAAGGATAAGCTCCACTGATGCCTTGACGCTGGCGCAACGCAGAAGTGCCGCGCAGAAGAGCTAACAGTGAAACAGCCCAATGGGAGTCCTGTGTTGTTGGGTCAGCGCAAGGGTGACATGAATAAGGCAATACATACCCGTCAACGACCACGCCAGACGGTGCATAAGCCAGGTGTCAGACAAGCCATTTGTCATCTTCTCATGCTCGTTCGCAGGTGCAAACCTGTTCGCAGCAAGACCGGGAGCTGCAGGGATTTTGGCAAGTCAATGTGACGTAAGATGCTGGAAGCTTCAGGTCTTGAGTCAGCCTGAGCGAGCGGAAAACAACAAGAAAGGCGCACCTTGTTTCGAGCCAAGGATGTAGTAGTGGGTGACGCGGGAAGACATGTCTTGGGAGCGACTGGGGTAGGCCGTGGACATCCCTCAAGGGGCACCGCTGCACCGGTGACGAAGAGTGGTCAAGAAGAGCACTACAAA